GGGCCTTGGGCCCCGCTGGACCCCGCCTGGGTTTTTCTTCCCTCTGAGCGGGGCTTATTGTTACAAGGAGTGGGGTTTTCTTTTCCCCCCTCTGCGTACGAGTTGGATTTGGTGTCGACCCCTCCCCGGGTTCGGTTCCGTGTTCCCCCGGGTACGTCGGTTCCGTCCTTCCGGAGGTTTTCGGCTTATCGCATCCAACCTGGTGTGGTGCGAGTGGCCTTTGCAGCTTACCTCCTGCATGACCCGGATTATGCCTCGGAAATGGATCCGTCCACGTTCAGGTTTGGGACTTCGTTCCCTTTCTGGCTCCGTTACGAGGTTCCGGAGTCGTCCTGGCTAGCAGACTGCCCCTTGTTTGGTCTGGATTCCTGGCATTCCTTCTGTCGTTCCCGCACGCTGGAGTGGTGGGAAGCTTCCACGGTGCTTCAGGTTTTCCTGGGGGGCGAACTTGAGTACCTGAATGAGTGCTTGTTTGCCCCTGCCCTTCCCCGCGATGTGGGCGTTATTCAGCTCCATGTGCAGGTTCCCTCCCTTTCGGCGGCGCTCGTTGCGGAGGACTTGCGTGCCCGGGGCCTTTTGAGTTCGGCCTTGCGGTTCTTTTCCCTTCTGGAGCTGTCTTCGGATTGGCTCATGGAGGATGTGGGGACGCTTGGGTCCATCCCGGGGTCCGGCACCTTGTCCTCGGCTGCGCGTTCGTCGGCTGCCTTGTTGAAGCTGTTCACGCCGATTTTGCGGGATGCGGTTTCCCTGTTTTATGCTTCCCGTCTCGCGTGTCGGCAGGCGGTGCTGGGTTCCTCTGTGGAATCTCCTTGGGCTCTGGCTCTTAGGCGTTCTTCACCTTTTTGTCCTCTTCTGTTTGAGGAGTCGGCCGTGGCGCAGTTTATTCAGGCTGCGTCGGCGGCTTGTCGTCCGATGTCGGACTTGTTGGTTTTCCGGGGGTCCCGGGGTGGGTCTTCCCGGAAAGGTTGTGCCAGGGCTCGGGGTTCCTCTCGTCGTGGTAGGCCTTGGTCACGGCTCCTCCTGCGGACCCTCCCTTGTCTGGTCGGCGCGGTGTTCGCGCTGTGCGGGGTTCTGGGTCTCGTAAGGGTCGCCGGCTCTTTCGCGGTTTGCCCCCTTGACGGGGTGATGGGGGGGCGGCTTGCGCTGTTCGCCCGCGCCTGGTCCCACGATTCGTGGGCCTTTCGGGTCGTGTCTCGCGGCCTGCGGTGGTGTTGGGTGGCCCCTCCCCCCTTTGGGGGGTCGGGGCTGGCGGGGCAGGTTTCTTCCCCTGCGCTCTGTTGAGTCGTCTTGGAGTGGGTACGCTTGGGCGTCGTCGAAACGACGTTGTCCCTCAGATGGGTTTCCCGTCTGTTTCTGGTTCCAAAACGGGACTGCGCGGACCTGCGGTTCATTCTGGACTTGTCCCGTCTGAACCCCTGGGTTCATTGCCCCTCCTTTCGGATGACTACGCTGTCTCAGGTTCGGCTCCTCTTGGAGCCGGGAGTCCTTCCGTTTCTTTTTGCGTCTTCGTCGTGTTGGCTCCTTGTCTGTTCGGGTGGTCTTGTCCTTCCTCTCGTGGTTGTTTCAGGACCGTCATCTTATGCCTAACACTGTCGCTTCGTATCGTGCGGCGCTGGCGGAGCTGCTTCAGCTTGCTTTCGGTATCGATGTTACGTCTGCGCCGTTTCGCAAGCTGTCTCGTGCATTGTTTCACCTCCGGCCTGCTCATGCGTCACCTGAGCCGTCCTGGTCTTTGGACAGAGTGCTCGCTTTCCTTTCATCTCCTCGTTTCGTTGTGGCCCCTTCGGTCCAGGATTGTTTTTCCAAGGCACTTTTCTTGTTGGCTTTGGCCTCTGGGGGTCGGGTAGGGGAGCTTCATGCTCTCCTCCGGCGCAGGGGTTTCTGCTCTTTTGGTCGTGGTGATTGTTTTGTTCGTTTGCAGCCGTCTCCTCCTTTTCTGGCAAAGAATGAGACTGCTGCGTTCTGGAGGGGTCCATGGGTGGTTGATGCTTGGTTGGTCAGGCTGAGGGTGCATCATGTTTTGTGTCCGGTTGCGGCGCTTCGCCGTTATTTGCGCGCCACGGCTTCTGTGTCCAGGGACGCGCTGTGGGTTGATCCGGTTTCCCTTCTTCCCTGTTCGCGGGTTCGGGTCTCCCAGGTCGTCCGCAGGGTTATTAAATCCAGCCAGCCTGCGGTCTATCCCCGTGCCCATGACGTTCGTAAGTTCGCGGCTCTTGCTGCCGTCTTTGGGAATATGTCTTGGTCTGATATTCGGGCGCGGGGATTTTGGCGGTCGAACAGGGTCCTGGCTGCTCGTTACCTTGTGAATGTCCCTGGGCCCCGTCGGGCCTGTGTTGCTTTGGGTCGGCGGTTGCAGCCAGTTGTCTCGGCTTCGAGTTGAGGAGTGAGTGACGACCGCCTCCCGGGTAAGTCCCTCTTTTTTCGTCTGTGGGTAGTTAGCTCCGGGGAGCCGACGGGGCTCCCCCCAGAAAACCAGCGTTGAATGTAATGAAACGCCATTTTCTGGGTGAGTCCTGGAGGCTCCCCGGCATCCCTCCCTCCCTCTGGTCGGCATTTTTTTCGCGTTTTTGACATCCAGCCTCAAGAACTGAGGTGTGGGTAGCCGGCGCGGGGGGTCTGGGGCTCCCCCTTCCCCCTCCCTGGGAGGGGGGAGCTGCGCAGACAGCGGCGCGGCGGTGTGTGACGTCACACTAGTTTGCTTGTTTTCTGTTGGGGAGTTCTATCCACTAGTTCGGCTTTTGGTAGCAATTTTAACCAGAATAGGGGTTTGTTTTGAGGTGCTTACCTTTCTGGGTGCCTGTTCCGGTCGATGGCAGACATAGAATGCTTCCAACCTCACGGGGGGGCCCGGTTTGGCCGTGGTCCCCGGTAGGCCATTGCTCCCCTTGCCTCTCTGAGCCTGGGATAGCCCGGTTCTGGCCGTGGTCCATTCAACGCTGGTAGGCCTAAGAAGCACGCATCCCATACACATGACTGATGCCAAAGTCTGACATTAGCATATCCCAGCCTGGGATAGCTCCGGGGAGCCTCCGGGACTCATATCCCAGAAAATGGCATTTCATTACATTCAACTACATTATCTCAAATTTTTCAGCGTAGTATGTATAGAACTTAAGACACATTAACTAGTATTAGTCAAATTTTTATAGAACAGTAGATAAGTACATTGGTTCAGATCTTTGGTTCAGAACCAAGAGATCTGGGTTCAGTTCTTTTGCAGGACATAAACTGTTGAGCACTTTTCCTTTCATCTGATGTACCTGTTCATTTAACATTAAATAGGTATCTAGGAGTTAGGCAGCTCTTGTGAGTTACATTCTAGGGAAGGTCAGTAGGGGGACCTCGGAAAGCCGAAGTGCTGTACTGTACAAAGTTGGAAACCTTAAAAATCCATAATGCTTTTGCTATTTGAAAAATATTTCAAAATTTTAAAGAATTACTGTACCTAAATCTCTACAATTTCAGTCATGCAGGTGGAAAATAGGGGCCATCAGATTGACACACACAAATACTTTCAAAGTACATGTGCTATACCTCGTGAGTGGGTGAAGGTTGCGAAACCTTCACTGCTCTACCTTTTAGCCTGGTGCCATATGTCATTAACTTCCTGAAACACACACAAACAAAATTATATAACACTGTTAGATATCATTACAGGGAGAGAATTCTGGTGGCATAGAATTTTTGTGAAAAATGCTTAGTGCCTCAAATATTTTTACCAAAATAAAATTACCAGTATATTTTATTTAATAATTTTATTTTGTTTTCAAATCCAATAATTTGGATTGTTTCATGCATGTGTTAGACATACAGTAGGTATGTAAGAATGAGTTTGGGTGGATATAAATAGGAGCCATCTCGTATTGCCTATCAACAATCGTAATTGTTGATGGAAAATTATACAAACTTGAAATTGATCTTACTCCAGAATTTTTGAAATTCTGGCTGGGACCTGTACCAATACAGTTTTGAAGTTACACTATACAGTATAGTATTTATACAGAGCATGTATATATAATACATGCATTACCATCAGTACCATTGTAAGGGGATGCCCCAGGACTCTGTCTTAGGATCGCTGTTGTTTATCATACAGTATATAAAAGGGTCCCGATAGTACAGTCGGGTTCGTTCTCGATGTATCTTGGGTGGGGTCAGTAATTCGGCCTTGGAAGAGGGGAGGGGCCTCAATAAAAGCCAAACGTGTATGAATACAATTTGGCTTCCTGTCCCCCAACGCAATGAATTATTATAAATGATTTCGATTCAGACTTGAAAAGCAATATTTGAAATTTTGCAGATACAAAACTAGAGATAGGAAATAAGTTCAGAGAAAGACACAAAATCACTAAAAGATGATCTAGATAAATTTGAAGTGGAAAAAGATTAACAAATACAGTTTAATACTGAAAAATGTAAGGTTCTGAGATTAGATAATGATAATGCAGTAAACAATATTTCCTGGACGATGTTGAAATTATGAAGTCTGAAAAATGATCATAGTTTTGAACCATAACAAGTAGGGCTCTTAAACAGAAAATCAATGCTAAATGTACATAATAAAGTAAATAGGATATTGTAGCTTACTTTTGAAAGCATTGGCAATAAGACATCTAAGGTTATTCTTCCACTTTATCTTGCTCTTGTTAAGCTCCATTTAGATTACACAGTTCAGTTTTGGTCACTGTACTATAAAATGGACATACAGTACAGTACAATATGTATATTGGAGAAGTTTAAATTTAGGAAAAGAGATTTGGAAAGAGGGTTGTTGATTTAAGGATCAAATTGCTGGGTAATATAAATGATGCGGGAGCAATGTATTGTTTCATGCATATGTTAGACATACAGTAGATATGTAAGAATGAGTTTGGGTGGATATAAATAGGAGCCATCTCGTATTGGCTAATTCCTTTCTGCAGTTGTTTTGTATTCGTGTGTATTTATTTTCGTCCTATATTTTAAAATTAATATTATTCTCTTAAAATTTGATCCAACAGATCAACCTCACCAAGAAGGCGTGTCAGCCGCTTATGTCTAATGCAGAAGACATTGCCATCTCCATCATGAGGGAGATTCACTATCGCACCATTCCTACAGCTGATGCCATTGAACTTTTTGCCATCTTACAGTCGCCCCATCTGCAAGTAATAAACTTTTTACTTCTTTCATTGCTAAGCATAAGAATGAAATACATCAGCTGTAAGATTTTTCGAGCATGATATTTACAACTTCCATTGGTATATTGATCCCGAGTGTTCAGAAGACATGCAACTGAAGTTACGCATGATAACTTTGTTCCAGTGCCACAGGCATTATAGTGCCCTAACAGTGCAATAAAGATGCTTGGGAGTCACTGAAGACAAATTTAATCCAGCCAAAATTAAGAGACCCTTAGATCTGTTTACAATTTCAAGCATTACAGAGTCCCCTTGACATCACACTTATGCCTGCCAATGGAAACTGGTTATCTTATAATTAGACAATTACAAACTGTGCTGCTACATCCTTGTCCAAGGTCAACGCAGTCTTAAAACATTAAAGTACTATAGCTACTCAGGATGGAGCGTTCAAAATGTGTATTGTAAAAAGTTAACATTTTGTACTATTTGAATTCTAAAGGGCATTAAAAAATAACAGTATCCATCTACCTAACCTGTCCTAGTCCTAAAGAAACAATCTTATTTCTAACATGTTTTAACATGAAATATTAAGCCCAATTTAATATAGTTTATGTACAATATTAAGCCTTGGAAAAGTTTAAATATTTTGTTGCCATCATTTTCTGACCATCTTCAAAATTAATAGTACAAATCTTGAATGTAGCAAATAAAACAATTTTGTACCCTGGAATACCTACTTGGTTGGTGTCCAGTCTCTCTGGATCCTCACAGGCCGAATTATGCCCTGTTAAGCTTCCATAGGAAGGGTTACTACAGTCTCGCATTCTACCTCACATGTATTTCATTGAATGCCTTACACCTGTGGTCAGATGAGCCTTATTTTTTAAGTTTCCAAATGGAGTTGGAGAGGTCTCATGATAAAATGAGGTCCAGCTCCACTCCAACTGCTCCCCCAGTGATTCATTGTCTGAATCAAGGGGGGTCGTTTCGGTGTCTTCCTTTGTGGGGTTGGACTCTGTGGGTAACTCATCTTCTAGATTCTCGAGGTTTGGGTCTCTGTGTGGATCATGTTCGGGGGCTTGTCCAACATTCTGGCAGGTCTCTTGTTTCCGTCCTATGACCATAGTGAACCATCAACGACACATCCTACCATTGACTTTGTGGGGTGTTCAATTGCCCCAAGGTGGGCCTCTTTGCATCAGAGTGGAACCGGCTCCATTCTCCGATCCCGAGGCTCTCATGGTGAATGCTTTTTAACTAGACTGGGGTCGGTGCGGGTTTCTTTATCTCTTTCCTCTGGTTCAGTTATTGCTTCAGGTTTTTTCTAGACTGGAGATGTTCTCTGGCAGGGTTCTCCTGCTGGCTCCCTTTTGGCCAGTCCAGCTCAGCCATAGTTTCTGACTCTTTAGGGTTGTTGTCTGAACATGCAGGTCCATCCTTTTCAACTGATTGTCCCCAGAGATGTTCCTCAGTCAATCGAGAGACTTCACCAATTTGCAGATCTGTAGTTCATGAGTCTCGTATACCTCTTGTTGTATACTTCATAGGTAGCCGATCTTTTGGTGTCTCGCCTGTAGCTTTTGTCACATCAATAAATGAAGCTGCTTGGCACTACTACTGTCTCTTTCTGTCTCTGTGTCTCATGTCCTTGATATCTGTTTCTGTGGTTTTTATTTTTGTCTTGACTTTTTGTTGATCGACTTCTCATGCTGACTACTGTGATCACTTCGGTCTTGGTTGAAGTCGCTGTCATTGGTGTTTGGTGCTTACATTCCATCAACCCTGTTTTACAAATTGTCAGGGTGTTTCTTCATCTTCTGCTTCCTCATGCTTCTCCTGAGCCTTCGTTGTCTTTTGGTAGGGTTCTGGTTTTTCTTTCCTCTTTTCTGTTCTCTGTTGCCCCATTAGTCTGGGATTGTTTCTTATAAAGCTCTGTTCTTGTTGGCCCCCTCACTTCCAGTTGCACCTTTGGGGAGCTTCACACTCCTTCGGAAGTGTGTTTTTTCTTTTGATCTTGTGGTCATTTTCTTTGTTTACAGCCTTTTCCCCCCTTTTCTTGCTAATTATGCAATAGCTAATTTCTGGGGGGGGGTACTTTGGTGATGATTGATGCCTGGTTGGTTCAGCTGGGGTGCATCATTTGTTGTGTCCGGTTGCGGCCACTTGCTGTTACCTCTGTGCCACTGTTTGTGGGAGAAGGAAAATGGTCTGTGGATCCAGTGTCCCTGGTCTTTGTTCCAGGGCCCATTTGTTTCTGGTCATCTGCAGTGTCATCATGTTCAACCAGTCTGCAGTCTACCTTTGGGCCCATGATGGTTCCAAGTTTGCAGTTCTGTCCACAGATTTTTCAGGTATGTCCTGGGTAGATATTCAGGCTTAAGGGCTTTGGCAGAGCAAAAGAGTGCTAACGTCATGATACTTGGTGAACCTGTCTGATCTGTACCAGGCTGGTGTGTCTTTGTGATGGTTAATGTGTCGCTAAGTCCCCGCTATTGTGGGGTGTCTGTATGTGGTTCTCCTCTGCCCCCTAGTGAGTTCCCGTTATAATTTTTGTTTTCCATAGGCACCAGGTTGTTGCCCAGAAAACCAGTGTTGAATGTAATGAAATGGCTCTTTCTGGTGGGTCCTTGGTGGCTCCCTGGGCCCTCCCTTACCCTTTCAGATGCTATGGTTTTTCCGTTTTCTTGGGTAAATGACTGAAGTGTCAGCTGGGAAATTGACTGGCTAAAGGAGTGGCAACCTGGTGGCACACAGCTCACAACTAGGTGAATCATTTTAGGGGTCTTGGTTTCTGTGATGTGTTTACTTTGCTGTTGGCTGTATTTTCTTTCTTTGCCTTTCTGGTGGTTCTGTTCTGTTCTGTTCTTAGTGACCAAGTATCCTTATGTTTGCTGTGCCTCTTTAATGAGGGCCAGGTTTAGGCCTCTGATCCCCAGAAGGTTTACAATGAGTCACATGGGACCTGGTGTGATTTGAGTTGGGTGGAGCTGTCTAGGTAACTAACAAAAAGGGAGCCACCAAGGACCCACCAGAAAGACGCATTTCATTACATTCATTACTGATTTTTAGGTGCAAATTGCTGTTGATCAGCCTGGTATAGGTATCTTTACCCCTAAGGAAATGACCAAGTGGCATGCTCAGAAAGGAACTTTAAATGTACACTCAAAGCCTTATTTTTCTCCAATTTTTATTTTGTTTTTCTTGGATGTCGAGGTCTATCAGATACTAGTAGTTATTGACTTGTATTTGTAATCTATATTATTATTATTATCTTTTCAGGGAGTTCTTCAAGCTCATGATAGCATTGCAGCGAAGGATTTTGCACCACATTTGCCAGAAATTCCAGTGGAGGTTGATGAAGATGAAGAAACTGTAAAAATTGTACAACTGGTGAAGAGCAATGAACCAATGGTAAGTACAGTAAATATTTATCTTTTTATCTAATGGGGTCCTCCCAAGTAAATTACAAGACTGATATTGCTGAACTGGCCAATTTTTTTGTTGGTCAGTTCTTGCAAAGTGAAGGGGATTTAATACTCTTATGTAGTAGTTTTAACTTTTCAGATATTGTGAATTTTCATATTCTGGATTTTCAGATTTTGAATGTTGGACTGTGTGCAAGTTTATTGTGATAATTAATGAATATTAGTACAGTGGCCTCTCCATTTATGAATTGAATCCGTTCCCAGAGATGGGTTGTAACTCGAAAATTTGTAACTAAAAATGAATTTTCCCATAAGAAATAATGTAAATTGAATTAATTCATTCCACACTCCCAAAAATATTAACTTCAAAATACATTTCATACACACACACATTTTGTACTATAGTACTGTATGTACAAGTTATAGCTTACTTTTATTGATGACTCTTGTTAGCGTATGGAAGACGGTGAGGAGGGGGAAGGGAGGAGAGGTGTTAGTGTTTGTAATGGGAGTTCCCTTCCATTATAACATCAGGCAGTGAGGACTTCTCTGGGGTACTTTCTCGCCTACATTTTGCCTGCATACCACTAGGATCTGGTTGTGGCTCACTGCTTGTTTTTCTCACCAAGAACCTTTCCATAGAGACTTGTTTTTTCCCTACGTTTTAACATTTGTCTATAGTGAGGCATCAGTGTCATTGAAAAGGTTAAGACTACGGCCTACTGCAGCTTGATTTGGGTGTGTCGTTTCAGCAAAACTTTGCATTTCTTCCCATGCTGCACACCACTTTTTAATAGTTGAGGGAACCCATTTCATGGTACTGTATATAATTACTTTTATGTTTAGAAAACATAAGAGCTGAAAAACAATGAAATTCTTTACAAAGAATTCAAGCGTGATCATCACTAAGCATGCGATCTGGTAAACTGAAGCGGGATCGCCCATGGCACTAGGAACCACACGCTCCATCGACCCATATGTGTATCAATAAAGTCGCAAGTCGAGGCAAAGGACGTAAGTCGAGTCGAGTCAAATTTTCCGACAAAATTTGGGTCGTAACTCAAATAATTCGTGAGTTGAGGTTCCACTGTACTGATGTTTTATAATTAGGGATAATACGTGTCTTTGAACTATGCATGATTCTATTATTACCATGGAGCATAGATAATCGGTGTATAAATAATGGCTTTCACCTATATTGTATGACTGTTTATTTAATGCAACCCTCAGGAAGGGAAAGGAGCTGAACCGATTGTGGTGAGTAAGACCAAGCACTATTTTATAATAGTTTCTTATTACTAATACTGTACTGAACGTTAAACAAAATGGTGCTATAAATAGTATGTTTAAATTACAGATTATATTGCTGCCAATAATTTTATTTATTGTTTAATGTTTATAATTTTAATTAAAGTATACAATATCAGTATATTATCAAAATAGTATAATAATATTTATTATTTGATATATCTAGGGAGCTACCATCAAGCAGGATGACCGGACAGGGGCCATAGTGATTGCTCGCATTATGCACGGAGGTGCTGCAGACCGATCTGGTCTGATACATGTTGGAGACGAGGTGCAAGAAGTCAATAATTTAAATGTTATTGGCAAAACTCCGGGTGATGTACTTAAGATACTTGTAAGTTTGGTATAACTACTTTTTCTTCATCTACTTTGTCTTAAATGGCTCATCTAGTTAAAGTTCTACATTGTGGTGTGCATGACAAAAAAAAAATTATATACAGAACTAATGTAAATAAATTGCATTTGGGGATTCAAATACAGGGGTTAATCACAGATAGGGATTGGAGCTGTTTAAGGATTAAAAGCATCACTTTGCTTTTGATAGCTGTTTAGCATCGTTTATGATGATCTATACTTTAGTAGTACCGTAATGGTCTTAGGTAGAGTACATGTAATTCTTTACTCTTAATGCAGGCTGCCAACTCCTTATCTAGAGCTGTGACACGTATCATAAGTCGGCAGCTTTCAGGTACCTTCAAGATGTCTTCCCTAAGCTGTCTGAGACAAAGATCAAAGCAAAGTTTGAAAGGAATAATGACAATTCTTTATACTATGGAGGAATAAGCAATCAGAAAATAACACTATTTTAGTGTTATAGGATTATAGGAGAGGATAGGATTTGTGTTATAGGGTTATAGGAGAGGAGAGGATTTGCACAGTGAGTAATTATGAAGGGGGGGGAGACATGAGAGTGGCGAGATGTTACCAGCTGATCCCACAGGGTTCTGTACATGGACCCATCCTGTTTCTAATATTTGTAAACGATCTTCCAGAGGGTATAAACTTATTCCTCTCAATGTTTGCTGATGATGCAACAATTATGAGAAGAATCAAGACAGATGAAGATAGACAGAGACTACAGGAAAACCTGGACAAACTGGAGAAATGGTTTCGAAAATGACTACTAAAGTTCAATTCAGGAAAGTGTAAAGTAATGAAAATAGGAGAAGGCTGAACACAAGGTACCATCTGGGAGGTGAAATCATGCAAGAGTCAAATAGAAAGAAAGATCTTGGGGTTGATATCAACAAAGCTGTTCCCAGAAGCCTACATCAAAAGGATATCACCAGCAACATATGCTAGATTGGCCAACATAAGAACTGCCTTTCGAAACTTGTGTAAGGAATCGTTCAAGACCTTGTATACCACTTATGTCAGACCAATCCTGGAATATGCAGCTCCAGCCTGGAGTTCATACCTAGTTAAACACAAGATAAAGTTAGAAAAGATTCAGAGGTACGCCACCAGACTTGTCCCGGAACTGAGAGGTATGAGCTACGAGGAAAGGCTAGGGGAGCTAAACCTTACGTCCTTGGAAGATAGAAGAGTAAGGGGAGACATGATACCCACCTACAAAATTCTCGGGGGAATTGACAGGGTGCACAAAGACAAACTCTTTAGCATGGGTGGAACATGAACAAGGGGACACAGGTGGAAACTTTGTACTGTACCCAAATGAGCCACAGAGACATTAGAAAGAATTTTTTCAGTGTCAGAGCAGTTAACAAATGGATTGCATTAAGTAGTGATGTGGTGGAAGCTGACTCCATACACAGGTTCAAATGTAGATATTATAGAGCTTAGTAGGCTCAGGAATCTGTACACCAGTTGATTGACAGTTGAGAGGAGCCCAAAAAGCCAGAGCTCAACCCCCACAACCACAACTAGGTGAGTTCTATCCAGGAGAGAAAAAAATTCTTAGTGCCTTAAAGTTTGCTTATTATTTCAGCTCTTTGACTTTATTTGTATGTTTTTTCTAACAATTCTCAGTACAAATATTAACAAAAATATTATAGTATTTAAACAAATACTACAGTATTCTTATTTGCATGTTACATGCAAATAAGAATACTTATTTATATGTAAACGATTCACATGTATTCACATGTTTGGCATATTTTTTGTATTTACAGATGCAAGCAGAAGGTACTATTACCTTTAAGCTTCTTCCTGCCGGTAGTTCAGCTCATTTACGGGAGAGTAAAGTTCGAGTTCGTGCCTACTTTGACTATGACCCTAAAGAGGATAAACACATTCCCTGTAAGGAGGCTGGACTGGCATTCATGAAACACGATATCCTTCATATTGTCACACAGGATGACCCATATTGGTAAATAACACAAACTTTTGTTTATTTTCATTATGACCTTATGCTGAGGTTTTTACTAACCCACTAATAACTAATTTTTACTAACTTCATCATTATGAGGTTAGTAAAATTGGATAATAGATGGATTGGTAATAGATCATGAAATACAGTGAATTAAAATAATGGAGAATGAAAGATTAGAAACTGATAACTCAAATGATCAAAGAGAACTTGGTTATCAGCTGGATAACCTGAGTGACTGGAATGTTTGTCAGTAACATCAGATTCAAGAATTATGAAATGTATTAGCAGATGTAGCACTGAGGGGGGGGGGGAGGTGGAAATTTAAAATCAATATAAGATTTGCATGGAGAGGAAATAACATAAATGCACTTCCACCAGTAACTTTGGTATTTTATGCCAAGGTATTTTATTTATAGTGTATGTGAAGAGAATATAATAGAAACTATATATGGTCAAATATTTCTCAACTTGGACTAGTTGGTACAGGAATGGTCTTGCTTCTTGTAGGGTCAGCATTGGTTTCCCAATGGGTTAAGTGTTAAGTATTCCCTCTCATGGTGACCTGATAAGTACTCCCTCATGATGACCTGATAAGTATTCCCTCTCAAGGTGACCTGATAAGTATTCTCTCTCATGGTGACCTGACAAGTATTCCCTCTCATGGGGTAGAACTAGCAGGACACTACCAACAATGGGAATTATAACTTCCCGGCCTTAGCAGGAACCTAGTTATCTATTTTCTAAATAAGTGGTGCTGCATTCCTTGTAATGTTCTTGTCCCACTGGGTGCTGTACTTTGTATCTTCAATTTATGCTTCATAAATAGTGTCCCTAACCTATTAATTGACTCTGATAGCATTTCAGGGTTATCTTCCTTGGTGTTGGTTTGTGTTTCCCGTATCCTCACTAGAGTTATCTTGTCTGAGGAATTTGGTTGTCCTTTTTTCTGGGGCTTCTCCTGAGTTACCCAGTAAAACTCTTTGGAGTTTCTCATATAAGTATTGAGACTTAGTCCTCAGTGTTCTCAAGCACTCCAGGTAGTGCTTGAGACTTAGCCCTCAATGCCAACCTGTTGATGGGGAATGGAAGGTGTGTGATAGTGGGCTCTAAGTCATGATTGATTTAAGGCTTTGTGCAATCAGCTGGGATTATACTTGTTGGTGATTATAGACTCTTGCATTCTAATTACAGTATTGTACTTTGCATTGTACATCTTTCCTTGTCCATTATATTATTTAGTACAATATTAAATTTAGGTTTTCTGTGGGGAGCCCCTACGGCTCCCTGGAGCTTATCGGGCTAATGTATGTTATGTTAGACCGGGACATTAGCTAAGGAGTTCAGACCTACCAGGGACCAGCGCCAGAACCTGGCCCCTTCAGAGAGGTTTCAGGGAGCAATGGCCCTGGAAAACCCCATATGGTTGGGGGTTTTCCTTATCTGCCATCGACCGGGGTTAGGCACCCAGAAAGGTAGGCGTAACAAAACAAACCCCACATGGTAAGAAACTACAACAAAAACCGAACAGAGAGGTAGAAAACTCCCTACAATCCCAAGCAAACAAGCAAACAAGCAAACATCACACTTTACTGCCGCGCCGATCGTCCGCGCAGCCCTCCCCACCCCGGGAGGGGGAGGGGGGAGCCTCGGACCTACCGCGCCGGCTGCCAAGCTCCAGTTCGTTCGCTAATGTCAACCGGGATTGACGCTTCTCTGGCCTCAGTTTCCTAGGCAAGGTGTTTGCCTTGTGTGGCGTTCACTGCCGTGTGTTGTGGTGTGCGGTGGCCAGGAGTACTTCATCAGTGCCGGGGCTGCATGTGCTTAGTGGCTGACTTCCCTAAGCGCCCTGTGAGTACTGCCCTTGCGTAACAGGGTTATCTTCCCTGGGGCGTTCGGGAACCATTCCCGTAGAGGTTCTTGCTGCTCGGCATTTGCCTCGCCCTTGGGGCCAGCTGGGGCTTGGGGCCCTTGTTTGGCCCTGGGTAGGGATTGGTATTGTGCTGGTTAGGGCGTCAAGGTGTTGCGCAGCCTGCCACCTAAGCGGCGGCCAGTTTCTGTTGCCTCTGGAGACGGTGTACTTTTGCGGGGTTTTTCTTTTGTTTTTCATTTTCTTGCCTGGTGGGGGTCTGCCTAAGGTGGTTATAGTTCCACTGGTAGTGTTTGGCGGCCCTCTGCTAGGCCCCCGTGCTTGTACACGTCTCAGGGGTTTTCAGTGCTATAATCTACCCTCTTGTTATGTTTGGGTTTCTTAACCGGTTAGCAACACCTTGCCCGGGCTTCCCGTAGTTGTTACCCTACGGGCCCTGGAAACCCGTCTGGGCTCGGGGGACCATTGAATGTGTCTTCCGGGTTCCAACCCGTCTTGAACGGGATCGTTGGTTGCTGTTCCCTTGTCTCCGGGTGACAGTCGCCATTTTTACCTCCGTCATGCTGCCTGTTGGGTCACTGACACCTTGACCCGGAGTCTTGCGAGTGATTCTCTGCTTGTTCTCCAGTACTCTCCTGATGTTATTACTGTTCAGAGTACAGGCGGCATCCGTGTTGCAAGCTAGGTTAGGTTGCTGCAACATGCTAGGTTGGTTTCCCACTCGAATGCCCCGTGGCCGCCCCGTTTGGTTAGGTGCTGCTCGCCCCTTTCTCTCCATGTTCCCGGCTCCGGACCGTCTGCGGGTTTCGGGGTCGGGGCGGGGTTCAGTTGCGGCAGAGACTCGGGCGGTTTTCGGGGGATGCCCCGTTCGGGTTGGGGACGGAGGTTTGAGCCTGTGCCTCCTGCCAAGGCTTCTGGGTCTTACCAGCGGCCCTTTCTTGTTGCCTTTCCCATGGGCTCTTGCTTTTCTTTAAGGGCGGAGGGCTTGGAGGACGGCTCTGCCCTGGGGCCTCTGTTGTTGGTTCCCGGGGCTGTGGGGGTTGCCTGCTAGCAGTTCTGGGGCGGTTTTGCCCCTTCAGGGGTTTTTCTGCTGTTGGGCGTCGTTTTTCGCCCTTCCAGTCTACTAGCTTCCCACATTTGCTGGCGTGTTTTTGTGTATTAAGCGTCAGTCACAGCCCCTGCTGGCGGCCATTTTCGTCTGCCGGTTTCCCGGCGTGGCCACCAGGGCGGCGTTGCGGTTTGTTTACATGCGTCTGGGTGTGCGAGCGAGCGTCTCTGGTGAGTTTTCAAAAAATTTGCAGAGTTTTTGTTCTCCTGTTGTCGTTTCTTTGTTTTTCTGGTGTTTTCTTGCCGTTGCCTGTTCCTCTGGGAACGTTTGGGTGTTGATTTTGGGTCTGAGCCTCTGGGTTTAGGCTCAGTGCCCCTGGCTGGTATGCTTGCCCCTCGGTTTTCGGTCTGTTGGGACCGTTTTCCCAGGGCGTTCGGCTGGGGTCTGTGCTTTGCCTTTTAGTGGTGTTCTCCGCCGGCAAATGTGGTGGTTTGGGCTCCCCCTGGTTCGATTCTGGGTTCCTTTGGGTTCCTTGGTTTCGTTCTGGAGGTTTCTTCCTCTTGGGCCCCCTTTTGTGGGTTCAGGGGACTTTGTTTCCTCGTGTGACCCAGTTCTGCCTTTTGGGGTTCCGGGGTCTTCCTGGCTTGCAGACTGAGCTTTTTGGGTCTTGGCACATGTTGTGGTTGTGCTGGGACTTTGTGGTTTTGCTGTCGAGGTGGGCCTTTTGATGCAGTTTTGTGCCTTCTTTGCCTGGCCGGCGTAGTGCTCTTTGCCACTAGTCGGCGGCTTGTGCTTTTACAATATATGTCCTCACCTAGTTGTGCTTGTGGGGGTTGAGCTCTGGCTCCTTGGTCCTGCCTCTCAACCGTCCGTCAACAGGTGTATCGGTTCCTGTGCCTCTTGGGCTCTGTCATGTCTACATGTGACATTGTATGGGGGTCAGCCTCGTTACTTGTGTGAGGAGTCGCCACATTACTTCTTAGTGCTTTCCCGTTCCCATTCTGACACTCAAAAAAAAAAAAAAAAAAAAAAAAAAAAAACTTTAATTCTATCTGTGGCTCTTTTGGGTACTCAGTTTCCACCTGTGTCCCCTAGTGCGTGTGCCCCTTGTGTTACATAGCCTGTCCTTCTCAACCCTGTCGATTCCCTTGGGTATCTTGTATGTGGTGATCAGGTCTCCCCTCACTTCCTCTTCCAGCGAAGTGTGGTTTCATTCCCGTAGTCTCTCCTCATGACTTCGGTAGTGTACTTTTTCTTTCTGAAGGGGTTCTGTTCCCTTCTCTGTTGACTGGGCGCTGGGGGAGCAGCTTGCTCTGTTGCCTCTCGCTTGGTCCCGCTGTTGGTGGGCGCTTTGGGTTGTCTTCCGGCCTCTGCTGGCGTCGGAGGACGGCTTCTCCCCCTTGGGGGGGGTTCAGAGCTGGCGGGGTGGGCTTCTTCCCTGCGCTTCGTCATTTCCTCTTCGTGGGTGCGTGGGGCGTGGTCGATCCGCCCCATCCTTCTGGGCTTCCCGTCTGCTCTTTTCAGTCATGAGCTTTTCCCGTCTGCTCTTTGCAGTCATGAGCTTTTCCAGTCAGCAGTTCTTCTGGACTACTTCCGTCTGCGCCCTGGATCCTCTGCCCTGCTCGGAGGACTGTTGTCTCCTGTTCGGATTCTGTTAGGGCCGGGTGCATGGATGGTGGACCTGGACCTCCAGGTCACTTCTTGGCACGTTCCTCTCCAGTTTTTCTGGGGCTAGCACGGTTGGTAATTACCTATGTGTACTTACCTAAGTGTAGTTACAGGATGAGAGCTACTCTCGTGGTGTCCCGTCTTCCCAGCACTCTTTGTCATATAATGCTTTGATTATAATTGTCATATTGTCATATAATGATTGTCATATGTCATAATGTCTTAATATGATTGTCATACAATGCTTTGGTGGTGGGGCTTCAGGTTTGCTGTTTTTATTGCATTCCCTATTTTGTGAAGGGCACTTTGTATACTCTTTGCATCTTTACCGGATCTTAGTGCCCTGTCTGCGTCTGAGATTCGGTGTCTGGCCTACCTCGACGACTGGCTGGAGTGGGCTCCCAGTCAGTCCGCTTGTCTGCTCGCCAGGGGATGGTTCTTTCCAGATCGCTGGGTTTGGTTTCCTGGTGATCTGGAGGTTTTACCTTCTGTTTCCGTCCCGGGTTCGGACCTGGGCCTCGTTTCAGGCTCTTGGGCCCCTCATTGTCTTCCCTCCAGAAGTGTTACTGTGGCTGTGGTCCCGCCTTTGGCTGTTCAGGAGGGGGTCCCGGGTTGCTCAGCGGTTGCTTGGGCGGTTGTGCGGGAGTTTGCACTTCGGCGTGCTTGTCTGCCCGCGGAGTCGGGTTTGGCTCCGGCGTCGGTTGGTTCCTACGGAGACTCCACTTCCGCCTCTTGCATTCCTTGGGTTCCTCTGGGGATCTGGTGTTGGTGCTGCGTCACCAGCTTCCTCTTTGGGGTTTTCGGGGTTCCGTGCCTTGGCAGCTCCCCGAGCCTTCGCTCGATGTGTTCACGGACGGGTCGTCTCTCGGCTGGGGCTTTGTGACCAGTGCTCACCAGGTCGGCCGAGGTTGATGGAGTCTGTCTGTCCGTCGGGCTCACAGCCTGGTTCAGGTGTTCATGGCTGTCTGGTTTGCGCTTCGGAGGGTTTGGGTCACTAGGTACTCTACCATTCAGCTCTGTTTGGACTGTTCTCTGGTGGTTCTTGCCGGAACCACAGGGGGTTTGGTTAACTGTGTGGTTCGTGTCCGGGGTGTGTCCTGCGTCCTGGTGGACAGCTTTCTCGGTTCATTCCTCTTCGTGGGTTGGCCAGTCGTCGCCGATTCGTTTTGTTGGCTCTGTTGGGCTTATGGACTCCTGGCCATGGACGTCTTCGGGTCGGCGTGGTCTAGGCGTCGCCCGTTTTGTGGCGCCCTTCCCACCTGCGAGGACTTCACGGTGGAGGCTTTCGGCAGGCCTGGTCGAGGTGGGGGGTACCTGTACCTCTTCTCCCGGTCCAGCTGTTGCTTCGGGTTCTGGCTCGGTTGCAGCCCATTCCCACGAGAACAGTCCTTATGGTTCCACGGTGGCCGGCCCGGCCTTCTTTTCAGACGCTGCTTGATAGGTGTCCGTACCCGGGGCGTTTTTCCTGAGGCTTCGCCTCTTTCAGCAGGCCGAATCGGTCCTGTCCGTGACTGGTTCGGCCTTCTCTTTGGCTCTTCGCGTCTGGTATTTTGACGCAGGTATCGCCATCTCTATGGTGTTCAGGTGGCTTTGTTGACGGTGTCCCACCTGCGAGCTTCGTCTTGGAGACTGAATGACGTTTATTACGTTTTCTCGCGTTTTGTTTCCCCTCCGGCCTGCTCATGAGTCGCCTGAGCCATCCTGGTCCTTGTTCAGGGTGCCTTCTTCTCTTCCCCTCAGTTTGTGGTAGCCCCTTCGGTTTCAGTTTCCTCCTCTTTGGTACTGGTGGTAGCTTTATTGGTGTGCAGCCTTTCTCTGTCCTGGCGACGGTCGAGACGGCTGCTTTCCGGAGGGGTTCTTGGGGTATTGGTACTTGTTTGGTTTGGCCGGGGGGTGCGTCCTGTGTTGTCCAGTTGTGCTTTTTGCTGTTGCCGGCGTACCGTGCCTGGGGATGCGCTGTGGTTGATCCGGTTCCTTCGTTCCCTGTTTTCAGGGCTCGTGTCTCCCGGGTCGTCCGCAGTGTTTTCCTTCTTCCTGCGGTCTGTCTTTGCGCCCGTGCTGTTCAGACGTTTGCAGCAATTGCTGCTGTGTTGGTGACGTCTCGGGCTCATTTCGGGCGCAGGGACTTGTGGGTCGCACAGGTTTTTGGCCGCCCATCCATATGTGCGTCTGTTCTTGGGCGTTCTTGTTGCCTTGGGTCGCAGGTTTGCGACCGGTTGTCTTGGCTTTGCGTTGCAGAGTTTGTGGCGGCCGCCTCCCGGGTTAGCCCTTTCTTTTCCTTCTCTTTGGGTATGAAGCTCCAGGGAGCCGTAGGGGCTCCCCACAGAAAACCAGCGTTGAATGTAATGAAACGCCATTTTCTGGGTGAGCCCCGGAGGCTCCCTGGAAACCCTCCCTCCCACCGGTCGGCGGTTTTTTCGCGTTGGTTGAAGCTTAGCTTCCGAACTGGAGCTTGGCAGCCGGCGCGGTAGGTCCGGGGCTCCCCCCTCCCCCTCCCGGGGTGGGGAGGGCTGCGCGGACGATCGGCGCGGCAGTAAAGTGTGATGTTTGCTTGTTTGCTTGTTTCCTTGGGATTGTAGGGAGTTTTCTACCTCTCTGTTCGGATTTTGTTGTAGTTTCTTACCATGTGGGGTTTGTTTTGTTACGCCTACCTTTCTGGGTGCCTAACCCCGGTCGATGGCAGATAAGGAAAACCCCCAACCATATGGGGTTTTCCAGGGCCATTGCTCCCTGAAACCTCTCTGAAGGGGCCAGGTTCTGGCGCTGGTCCCTGGTAGGTCTGAACTCCTTAGCTAATGTCCCGGTCTAACATAACATACATTAGCCCGATAAGCTCCAGGGAGCCGTAGGGGCTCACCCAGAAAATGGCGTTTCATTACATTCAACGCTGGTTTTTTGTTTTCCTCAGTCTTTAAAGTGTTCATATGATGTAGCATTGAGATCTTTTGATAAGTTCTTAGCTCATCATCGGCTCTTTTGAGTATCACTGACAGGTGTCCTCATTCCCAATTTGCTCCTTTTGTTGTCCAATACTGTCGTGTTTTATCGATCACCCTTGACAGAGCCTCTGTTGCTAGAATTTGATAAAAACCTGTTTTCTGCACTCTGTTAAGTTTGCTGGAGCCTTCTTTTTTTGAGAGACTGATTTATGCTTAAATTTAAAAGTATTTGCAAGAATTTATAAAAATGTAGTGTTGGTACTATAATTATATATGCTTATTATTATAACTATTATTGTTTTAAGGTGGCAAGCCAGAAGAGAAGGAGATCGCAACATGCGTGCAGGTCTGATTCCTTCACGACAGCTCCAAGAGAGACGTATCTTGACACACAGACAGGACCAGACAGCAAATGGACAAAGTGAGTTGAGTCACCTTCACTAATTCGTAAAAATAAAATAAATTCATAGAATATTAGTTATCATCACTGGAAAATTTCAGGAAAATAAGAATAGGATCACATTTTCCTAATTGTAGAACCTTGTCCCTTACCCATGTAACCCCTCAGTTAAACTTGGAACCTCAGTTTCTGTTGCTTGATGGATTTTAGTTCATTCTTTCCCATGAATGGAAGCTTAGGTTTTCTCCTGCATTTATCTTATCATAATAATAAGTGAGTAAATTTTTAGGAGCAATGTAGTGGAATTTAGCCTGCATCTGGAGTTACTCCAGACACACATGACATGAGATGTGAGTTTACTTCCACTGCATTGCTCTTAGGAATGTTCTCATAGATATATCACACTATTGTGATTTCATTGAGCATAATATTAAGTATCATTTACAGTCCAGGCAGTCTGCTAAGAAGAAAGAAAGAAAGCTTCTGAGGTAAGAGAACTCTTGGTTACAACATACTAGGCTCAACTTTTCTCTGGCCTCTCTTTTAATGCTCTAGTGTGTCTTTCCTTGAAGCTGAGGTTCCTTGACTATGAAGGGAAGCCAGAGGGAGAGAAACTGTGTTTTACACCTGGTCACTTGATTTGTATTTTATTGGCCTCAATAAAATAACAGGTGCAAATTGTGGCTGTTTACCCAGAAAAAAAAGTATTGAGTATAATGAAATGCCCCATTCTGGGAGGCCCCTCAGTGGCTTCCCGGAGCTTTTGTCCTGGTACCATAAGACCAACTCCAAAACATCAGTCATCTGTGACAATCTCACTGTCATTAGCAGGTCCCTGAAAGAAAGATACCTGCCGATCCCTGCCTCCTCACAGTTGTAGGAGCTGAGGAAGTCATAATTCTCCATACCCCCAATGAAACCCCCAATGAAAATTTCCAAGGATCACTAGGGATACTACTGCCAAACTCAAAGCAAATTTAAACAGATTGGTTGAAACTGTTAATGGCAAAATGTGTGGACTTCACCTGCCATGGGCTACTGGAGAGTACAAATCTGGATATGCATATGGGACTGTCAAGACCCACAAACCTGGAAACCCTTTTTGACCAATCATCATCCAGATACCTACTCCCATGTACAGATGGGCTAAGCGACACAACTTTCTGCTAACTCCATGTGTGCCATAAGCCTTCATCCTTAAGTCTCCAAAGGAATTTGTTGACTTACTGTGGGGAAGGGGGCACATATATCATGAGTGAGATCATCTGTTGATGTGGGGCGTCGCTCTTCACCAATGTGCCGGTGGATGAGACCACTGGAATGATGGACAGCATTTATCAGGATCCGGGTTGTACCCCCTTGACATCCCAGAAGACACGCTTAGGAAGCTACTCAAAGCATGTACCAAACAGGCACCCTTCCCGAGTCTTGATGGTGTATGTATAAGAAAGTAGATGGCGTTGCTATGGCTTTTTCCCTTGGTGTCTTATTTGCCTATTTTTACATGGGTACCGTCGAACAGAAAGTCCTTGTTGACATGGGCCTAAAAGCCCAGTGTATACTGTAGATATGTAGAAGACATATTCCTGCAGATACCTGATATTGAACACCTGCTGCTGCAGCTTAAGGATGCATTCGAATGAAGCTCAGTGCTAAGGTTCTCTTACGAGATTGAGTGGAGGTAGACTATCTTTCCTAGATGTAATAGTCTCAGAAAGGAATGGTGGCTTTAACACTGCAGTCTACACTAAGGGAACTAACATGGGAATATGACTTAATGCTAAGGGTGAGTGCCCTGATAGGCACAAGCTGAGTGTTATCAATGCCTATATCAACCGCGCCCTCACACACAGCTGCAGTTGGAAGCAGACTAACAAAGAACTCGGTAGAGTAAGGCAGGTCTGATCAATAACACACACTAATGGATATGTCAAGGAAATCATCGATAGGAAGGTGAGCCACCATGTAACTTCAGATATAACAGGTAACAATACATTATTGGTCTCTACTATTTAAATATTCTACAGGAACTTCCTCCATGGCCCATAAAGCAGAAGAAAGGCCCCTGAAAAACATTATTGATAGAAATGTGACCCCTACTGACACCATCCAGAAGATTGAACTAATAATACACTATACGAGCAAGAAGATTGCCAACTTGCTCATGAAGAACTCTCCTGACACCAAACAAAACCCCTTGAAAGAGGCAAATGTCATATATGCCTTCACATGCCCATTTGTGGACTATCAGCCCCAACAAATTCAATATATAGGCAAGACAACAACATCCATTTCAAGGCACCTAACAATGCACAAACAGCATGGCCTTATTAAGGAACATATAGTCTATATATAACCTGACCATCACCAGAGAGATCCTCACAAACGACACCAAAATAATCGACAGATACAGTGACAGATAAACCTGACATTCAGAAGACTGGACATCAGCAAAGCATTATACATCAAGCAAACCAAGCCAATTAGCACCAAATTACACTCTGCCGTCTTCCAGAACATGATGGAACATACAGCATACTGCCCCAGCTATCGTGCAAACAGGAGATTGACAACATGCAATGGACTTAAAGTGAGGTGCTTCACCTTCACCTCATCCCCTTCATCTCATCCCCTTCATCTTATCCCCTTCATCTCATCCCCTTCACCTCATTGTCGGGGCATATATCATGCAGCTAGAATCTTTGTAATCAGGAGCCTACCTTCAAAATAGTAATAGAAAGTCTCCAAATGAAAAAGGCTGCCTATGATCCAACAATCCTAAGGCGCATAATAGAAAAGCAAATGCATAGCATTGCAGTAGCAGGAGCCACCCACATCTTCACAGATGGATCAGTTAACAGAATATGAGAGTGCTGTCGCTGCTCTTTGCACAGCCAGCGAACAGGCATATTGGAGACTGGGAGGACTAGTATCATCAACCCAAACTGAGCTGTTTGCCATACAACAGGCATTCGCATATGTGATTGCACAAAACACTCAAAATGCAATCATACACTTCAAATATTAGGACAAAAATAGTGGAAAGACAACGTGGAAATAATTACCACCATTTTGTATCTTGGAGCAGTCGCTAAAGACTAAGGACTCAACATAACTTTAAACTGGATCCCATCCCATGTTGGAATCCCATTAAATGAGAAAGCCGATGAAATTGCTAAATTGGCAAATCGTCATCCAGTGACACAAAACAATTCAACCTATCCTAGAGAACATAAAAAACATCACCAAAAAAACTCACACTTCAACAAAGCCCATCTACACCAGAGAGTAGCAAAAGGTTCGCCCTCTGCAATATGGTATCTTCAGGCAACCACATTAGAAAGGTTAAATAGCCCAAAAGGAATCCACAGGGGAAATAGCGGTTCGGTTATATAGACTACGTCTAGGTTACAGATGCAACTGGGAGATTGGTGAACCCCGACCGAGAGAATGCATCTTCTGTCAAACTGTCACAGAAAAGCCACTACTTCACTATCTCCTGGAATGTGAAGCAACCAACCACCTTAGAAGAGCTTTAAGAGTCCCCGAATCTTGCAGTAACCAACCTGAAGCCATTAACACAGCCACTCTCCTGGTCAAAAAAGGTGTCCAGCAGCTGGACACCCTCATAAATACTGTCACACAGTATCCTCCCCCGCGATAGCAGCCTGACGATTAAATGTGACCTCAAATCACCGAATAGATTTACTGAACAAAAAATTGTACCTCTTATGGGTTATTTATGCCCGTGCCACCTCTTGGGTGGCTTAATCTTTATCAATCAATCATTTGAATTGAACTACAATCAAGAGTTCATTTGAACTCTGCCTTTGACAATGTTAACAAGCGTTAACAAAATACATCTCTTAGCATCAGGCCAAATAAAACTGTAAAAATTAACTTTGTAGCATTAATTTTTCAACTTCTCATCAAAGGAAGAAAAATGTTAGGAAAATAGAGAAGATTTGCGCTGGAATCTTTGATCTCACCCTTTCAATCACATTCAATAATACAGTACAATATATGCCTACAGGAAAGACTGCTACCAAAATATACTAATATAGATATAATATATACTGTATATAAAATATACACACACACACACACACACATATACACAGAGGTCACTCCCTGGAAAACAAACCGAAACTGTCTCTTATTTTCCGCTTGTTACAACTTGTAATAAAGTTGTTACATCTTGGCTTAACGTATTTATGACGTATTAGAACGTTGCTACAACTTGCTATATTGGTTGTTATAACTGGTTAGGTGGTGGTAAAACTTGTTCGAATGTTGTACCAACGCGTAGTTTTGATGTGTGTTTGGAATGACTACCATAACAAAAACAAGATGATAAATACTTCTCACTTTACTTATTACACCCAGTGGTCATGATGCCAAAGTGAGCTCTAGAACAGAGCAAAGTAAATGAACCTTTATAATGCACAGAACTGAAAATCCACCTAGACCACCTCCTGAGTGGATAACCAAGCACTGGCGTTGATGTTACAAACTACGATGCTGCATCACCAAAATTGCACGACGCTATATACAGTCCTACTAAGTATAACCCCGGCTGTAGTGCTGGACCCCGCACCCGAACAAGCAGGGCCTCATACACCATACTAGCCTACTAGTATGTCACTCCCTTCTACAGGTCTCACTTGGTAACCAAGTCCCAAGTCCACCTTTGATATGTAAAAACTTAAGAGGAGTCCATCTTTAGGAGGAAACCAGTCTGTATCAGGAGATAACTCTAATTGCAACTGAGCTTCACTGAAGAGCATTTGCACCTGGGAAGATAACCATGAAACCACAGCTAAAGTTGGCTAAATAATCATGAGACATGCAGATTTGTTCAGTAAGAGTATTAAGATACCAGTTTGTTACCCAACAACGGAGCAAAAAACAAGCAGACGAGCCAATCAGTTAAAGCATGCAAGCCCGAGATGCAGTGTGTTCGTTGGGGCATCAGGCATGTGTGTGGTGTTGGTGACATTGCCGAACCTCTGCTTGACTAGTACAGTAATGTTATCTGGTGGTTGGAGAGGGAAGCAACAATGTGGTATTTTGGAGAATTTGTAGTTTTTGTTTGGTATTTGCTCATACCAAACATTTGTGTGTGTATTTTGATTCTTTGTGACCCCTTTTTAGCCATTTTGTCAGTTATATCAGTGCACGTAATATTATGACTCCTTCAGCTCCCCCTACCCCCTAGCCTTTGAGGATGCCTGGTGTATTGGATTTGGACTTTTGCTACCATTATATAATCTTCAGGAAGCCACTAAGAGGGGCCACCCCCAGAAAAGATGTCTACCAAATTTGATCTAAAATTTTCATGACTAGTTGAATATTGAAGCCTGTTTAACATTCCAGAAAACCCTTTCACATTCACTGCTATCCACACTTCATTTGCTTCTACCACTATGCATATTTCTACCTTGCACTTTTTACTCTTAATTTATTTAACATTCACTTTATATGCAGAGAATGTTACAATGATGTTGCTAAAAATTAGGAACTCAACCTTCACACGTGAAAAGAAAGTGGTATTAACAACACTTTCCTTTCTTTTCATATGTGTGGGTTGGGCTACTAATTCACTTAATATTTTTAAACAAAGTTACAGTATTTTATTATTTGATAGCCAGACTGGTCAGACATTATTAAACGGGTAGTTTTGGTATTCAGTATGTACAGTATTTCAAGATTTGTTGCATAAAATGTAAATATTAAATGTGTGGGAAAAGATTTGGGCTTAATAAGTAATTAATGGCCAGTGTTGTGTGCAAATTAGTTTTTAATGCAGGAAAAGACATCATTACACACAGAAATCACAATAGCGTGATGCATTAAATGAACAAATCCACAAGGGTCGTGATAAGGGTTCGAACCTACGTCTGAGAGGATCCCAGACGCTGCCTTAATCGACTAGGCCACGACATGGTCAAAAGAATTGCAACCGGGAGTGCACACAGAAATCGCAATAGTGTGATGCATCAAATGAACCCTTGTGGATTTGTTCATTTGATGCATTATGCTATTGTGATTTGTGTGTGTAATGAAGTAAGGGCGAAGAGGTAGAACAGCTTATTGACAAAGCCCGAGTGCATGGGGGAATTGTGTTAAAACCTGGTTTGTGTCTCGGAGAGACTGCAGGACCCATGTAAGTCCAATGGAACTCCCGGTTGCAATTTTTTTGACCATGTCATGGCCTAGTCGATTAAGGCAGCATTTGGGATCCTCTCAGACGTAGGTTTGAACCCTTAACACAGCCCTTGTGGATTTGTTCAAAAGATATCATATTTCACATTAATACGAGTGCATCCATTTCTCTTTGCTTTAGTGTCCTAATATTTTAGTATCTTGTGAATCTTGATAGTCATTTTCTAATTAAGTTTTTCTTGAATATAGAGAACTCAAAAGAATTAATGGCATCTTAGTTGCAGGGAACATAATTCCCAAGTCACCAAGCTGCAAGCCTTCACCAAAGGTTAAGAAAATCATTTATGATGCTTCTGAAAGTGAGGATTTTGATCGTGAAGAAGTGGCAACATACGAAGAAGTGGCACGTCTGTATCCTCGACCTGGTCTTCCTCGACCAATTGTTTTGATTGGTCCACCAGGAGTTGGGAGAAATGAACTGAAGCGAAGATTGATTTCCATTGATACAGATAAATTCCGGACACCCATTCCTAGTAAGTGCTAGCGGAGCTTATATGTTATTTAAATCATGCATATATATTGGGAGAGGTTAGATACTGAAAAAGGGAAACCTATTGAATTTTAACATTTCTTTCCGAAAAGTCGCTCGGTTGCTCTCTTAATCAGAGCCATGGGTTCTACCTGGGTCAGTGCCAACATGTCAGGCTGTGGTTTACTTTTAGCCCTATCAACGAATCCATCACTTGGAGACTGATCTTATTAGCTCCTTTGGTATGTTTCACCATTCTAACTCGGGTACCTTTTTTTAACCTTTCTATCCTCGGGGAGGGGGGAGGGGAGGAAAGGGCAAGCTAATAGCAACGAGGAATGTTTTGATTGTTAGAAACCAGACTGTCAAGAGCAGGGATTAGTCCCCCTCCCTTGTTAAAATTCAAAAGGGGGGCTAATCCCTGCTCTTGACAGTCCATTTTCAAAAAATCATCACATTCCTCATTGCTATTAGCTTGCTCTTTCCTTCTTGAAAATTAACAACACTTATTACTATCCTTCCCTTTGGATCTCAACCAGTACAATATCACTCCGTACCAAAGGCCAAACAATGGCCACAAAATCCCAGCTGGCCCCAAGGGTAAATGCCACACAGCAAAAACCCTTACAGAAATGGTTTTCCCGAACACACCAGGGAAGGGAACCTGAACATGCAAGGGCAGTGTTCAGGTTCAGATTACTCACAGGGTGCCTAGGGAAGGATGCCCCTAGGCGCATGCAGCCCTGGCCCTGATGAGGACACCTGGCCACCACATACAACAACACTGCAGAGATTGCCACAAAAGCAAAACACCACCTTGGAAATTAAGGCCAAAGAAGACATTCGCCCCGAACCATGTTTAGCGTACGAACTGAAGTGCTAGGTAGCTGGCGCAGGGAGGTCTGGGGCTCCCTCCTCCCCCTCTCGGAGAGGAAGAGGGCTGCGCAGATGAGCGGCGCGGCGGTGGAGTGTGGCGTTTGCTTGTTTCCTTGGGATTGGAGGGAGTTCTGCCTCTCTTTTCGATTTTTAGTTGTAATTTTGTTAACATGTGGGGTTTTTGTTATGCCTACTTTTTGGGTGCCTAACCCCGGTCGATGGCAGATAAGGAAAACCCTCAACCACGGGGGGTATTTTCCAAGGCCATTGCTCCCTGAACCTCTCTGAGCGGGGCCAGGTTTTGGCTCGTGGTTCCCGGTAGTTTGAACTCTATAAACTAATACCCCAGTCTAATATATCACACATTAGCCCGATAGCTCCAGGGACCCTCCGGGGCTCACCCAGAAAATAACGTTTCATTACATTCAACACTGGTTTTCTGCGTGTTAAGAATAAATTCACTCACATGGGATTTGAAAGTTGAATATCATAATTGCCACCCAATATCTGCCAAATTTACCATACATGGTGTGTTATTGTGTAGCTAAAGATGACCATTCCTTTTGAATTAGTAATCAAATCTACACGAGTGGTGTAAAATGTGTTTTCAGTCTCTTTAGCAGATTGTCACCATCTGCATTTCCATTGGATTGGTGCATCTGCATGCAGGAGGATTCTTTCACTGCAGCATGATAAGCTTCCTCAGCCATTTGTGTGTGTGTTGCCTTTTGTATTATTTCTGTTAGAATATATAACTCGTGGTGGAGCAGAATATATAACTCGTGGTGGAGCATAATATATATACCGAGAGGATCAGCTCTGAGTGTGTGGAAAGTTTATTTCCGAGTAAGGTATTTTGCTTGGTGGTTGTTGTGCTAATGAGAATGTATGCAAGAGGCAAGGGTTGTTTGAAAAGGTAGGCAGGGCTTGAGGGTTAGTGCTTATATGATACCTATAAGAAATAGGGAAAAGTTTATAGTTTCTATGATTGGTTGTTAGGTGATTGCATCTGCCACTGATGGGCAGACACAAGGCATCTATATGTCTGTAGGGCTTGAGCTTGGATTTAGAGTTCCTGAGATTTTGGGGTGTTTATCTTCTTGATTGTTACTTTGAGTGCCTTGTTAAAAAGTTTACCATGACACTGCAGGGATGCAATAGTCTGGGGTGCCACTGTCATGTTATCCTGCCTGATTGTAAGGAATCCTTAGTAAAACACACTGTAACATCAAGTCACACAATACCCTACTCAAAGACGAACTATTCACAAGCTCAAAGCCCACGTATTTTTCAACAATTGTTAACCACTCTTAAATATTTTTAGTGACATCCCGACCACCACGACTTGGTGAAGTAAATAACCGGGACTACCAGTTTGTGACCCGAGAAGAGCTGGACGAGGAAGCTAATGCAGGGACATTAGTTGAACACGGAGAATTCAAGGGTCATTTATACGGTACCTCATCTGTCACCCTTAAGTCTCTCATTAATGCTGGCTATGTAGTGGTGGTTACCCCACACTATCAGGTTAGTTTATTTTTGTGAGATGTGTCAAATGTAATTCATTAATAGGGCCAAAAGAAGCATCTCGAGTAAAGTAGTACAATTTTGTTAGTAATTTAATAGCCAGTGGCAGTCCTTGCAAACAGAGAAAAGTATTTTTGTATTGTTCAGTACAGGGTATTGTATATACTGCCAAAGGTTTGTACTGCCCTCTTGATTCTTATGTTTATTGGTCACAAATTATCAGCACAGTTCTGTTTCTTTGTAATCTAGGTTGTACAGTATTCTTAAGAAGTTGCTTATTTCTTTGGCCTCTGTTAAGGTAATGTTTACATTATAATTAGATTTTTTCTCCAATGTATATTAAGCTTTCTTGCAATATAACAAAAATATTACTGTACTTTTTTCTGATCTCACCATACCTTTGGCTGTCACTTTCATTCAGTGGATTTTTGTTGCCGATTTTGTATTGCTTTATTGGGTGCCTGCATCCTCGGGTTGATGTTGACCATAATGACACATAAATAATTAATGTTGTAAAATATATGTAGAACAGTGAAACTGAAATTGTTTTGGCTTGAGGAGGAATAAAACATATAGCTCCATACAATGCCCCCACTAATTTTCATGGCATGAATGACAGTCTCACTCTCTCCATGCAGGCCCTTAAGTACCTGAGAACTGCAGAGTTCAAACCGTACGTGATATACATCAAGCCTCCAACACTGGCTGTGCTCAAAGAAACAAGACAGGCAGCTCATGCTCGCTCAACTTTCGATGAAAATAATTCCAGAGGCTTCACTGTAAGTTTTTAATGTTTTGTTATTGCAGTATTCGTTCAGTTTAACGACCTATATGGGGCTGTACCCAGGTTGTTAAATCCGGGACTCCGCTAAATCAAGAGGTATTAAAATGTCGGTAACTTTTAACTCATATTTGGGAGAACAACAGGTGTGTAGGCAGGAAGGCTGGCTGGCAGGTGGGTGGGTAGGACAAGTGGACGGGCAGGCAGGTGGGATGGATGGATAACTGGCTGGCAGACATGCAAGCAGAAGTGGGGGGTGGGCAAGCAGATGGGCAGGGTGGATGGATGGATGAATTGGTGGCTGACTGGCAGTTGAGCAGGCAAGGGCAGACATGACAGACTAACAGACATGTTAGTCATGTTTTTTGCTAACATACATGTTATCAAATATTATCCAAGATTATATTAAAGCTAAATGTTAGTAAAGAAAATATTTCAATAATGCAGCAACACTATAAAATTGTGATGGAGGAGCATGTAGTTGGCAAGCAGGTGGTAGAGTGGGCAGATGAGTGGCAGGTTAGATGGGTAGCTGGGCAAGTGGCAGAGCAGTTAAGCATGCAGCAGGACAGGCAGCAGAGTGGATGGGTGGCAGGGTGGGCATAGTAGGTAGGCAGACGGGCATTCGGATGTGTAGACAGCACAATGAGCGGACGGCAGAGTTGGAGGGTGGGGTGAGTGAGTAGCAAGGTGGGTGGCAAAGGGTGGGTGGCCAGCAGTGGACAAGCAGGTGGCAGATTGGGTCATCAGGCTGGCGGTGTCAGAGATATCGGACTAGGACTATCACAGACTGGCTTAACCCTTACACTGCTCAGGGGTCCTTGGGACATTTACACCTCTGTGCGCAAGAAAAAAAAAAATTCAAACAAATTTTTTCGTCTTCTAAACATGTTAATTTGTGTCCCCTGAGCACGGAAAAAATAAAAAAAAAATCGTAGGTGACATATTTTGGGCGCAATTGACCGAGGAAGTCTGGCAAAAAGTGGGCGTTGACAGAGCGGTCGTCAGACCCGGTCAGCGTCACCCGCGTTGACAGATGGGAGTTGCCACAAAGATATTATTACCTAATTGTTTCAATGTCTCCGATTGATTTTTTCTTAGTTTTTTTGCAGTAATATTATTCAATAGTGTGTATTGTAATATATTTATATAATAAAAGTGGTTAATAATCGCTATACTCAAAAGTATGATGTGCATATTAGTGATTCAATTATTATGTTTATAAAACTATAAACAAATAGTTTTGCTGCTATTACACTCTATACACAGGTTATATATAAGTATTGGCATGTTTTGGTCACCATAATGAGCCACTAAGTTGGTATTGAGAGTCGAAAAGCAACGAGGAGTTACCGCCACACACCAGCCAGCCACTCGCTGCCACTCCCTCAACACACGCACTAAACTTTCTCCCCCAACAATACCAGTTGTGGTGTTATTACACTATATACAGACGTTACATATTAGTATGTGTATATTTTGTTCACCACAACTGTACAGCTAAGCTGATATAGTTAGTTCAGGTACTAAGAGTCGTCGCTATACACAGATGGCGGCTCCCTCATTCAAGGTCACACGCACTAAACTTTCTCCCCCAACAATACCAGTTGTGGTGTTATTACACTATATACAGACGTTATATATAAGTATGTGTATATTTTGTTCACCACAACTGTACAGCTAAGCTGATATAGTTAGTTCAGGCACTAAGAGTCGTCGCTATACACAGATGGCGGCTGGCGGCTCCCTCACTCTTTCAAGGTCACACGCACTAAACTTTCTCCCCCAACAATACCTTTTGCAGTGTTATTACCCTATATACACATATTATATATAAATATCTACATGATTTATGCACCGTAACTGTACACCTAAGCTTGTAGTGCGCCCAAAGAGCATAGTGGCCACCCTCTAAACAGCTAGACAAATCGTGCAGACGACGTCACCTCCGTCACCCATATGGCTCCTCCCAGCATAATCCTTTTGCTGTTATTACACTAATACACACATTATATATAAGTATCTACATTTGTGTTCACCATAGAGAACCACTGACCTGGTATGGTGAATGCAAACAATAACAGGTGGCCACACAGTCAGTAAACGATGCTGTCTCCCTCCGTCTCTCAGCATCACTCCTCCCACAGCACTAATTATTACAACAATCCTGCTCTTATCACAACCCTGGTTATTTATATCAGTCATTGGTCATCTGTAATATTGTCATCGCTAAATAATAACAATTATATATTTATTTTGACATTTTTCGGCGATGCTGTGGTCACAAGCTGAACATCAATGCTGTTCGCTCATGCTGCGTGCGCCGGCCTTGGTTGCTCCAACAGTACTGTGCCTCTCACACCTGAGAATATTGCCCACGATTTTTTTTTTAAATTGCATCTGTTTACAAGAGCCCTGAGGAAGCTACTGTGAACCCCGTGTAGCCGCGGGCCATTTTAATCAGGCCTGGCACCCTATGGCGTATATATACGCCATGCGCACCATGGGACATGTTACTCAGGGCGTATATATACGCCATGCGCAGTTTAAGGGTTAAAGGTCACACCTGATCCATACCCTAGGGCGCTTGACAGCTGAGTGGACAGCGCTTCGGTTTCGTAGTCCTGAGGTTCTGGGTTCGATCCCCAGTGGAGGCGGAGACAAATGAGCAAAAAGTTTCTTTCATCACTGATGCCTCTGTTACCTAGCAGTAAATAGGTACCTGGGAGTTAGACAGCTGCTACGGGCTGCTTCCTGGGAGTGTGTAACAAAAAGGAGGCCTGGTCGAGGACCGGGCCACGGGGACGCTAAGCCCCGAAATCATCTAGAAAACCTCAAGGTTACCTCCGCATACCCCTAACAGGACCCTCCCAGCTATGTTCTTCCCACCTATCCCCTAACCCTCCTGCCACATCTGAGATTAGGATTTGGTTATGATTCTCAACTATCTTCTTACCAGCTGGTGGCTTGGGAGACAGACTGCCCAAGTGCCTGATAGCAGACTCATAATGTTTATTAACTGTGACTGATTGCAACTAACTGTGAATGCTTGATTGACTGTAAATGCCTGACTAGTTGATACCACAATTGCGAATGCCTTTGACTAATTATGATTGTGACTTGTCTTAAATGTGAATGCCTGACTGACTTGCTGTGACTATAAATGCCTGACTGGCTGTGACTGGCTGCTACATAAGAGAGGCAGTGAAATCTGCAAAAGGAAAATGTAACTGTTGGCCTGGCAAGGTGAAAGTTGTTACTACAAACCCAGTACAGTGTAGTGGGCTCCAGTTTAACGAGCATTGAACTCGGTAAACTTGATACCATTCCTGATTTAATAGCTAATGACTCTGTAAATAAGACTCCAGTTATTAATTTCAAATTCAGCCTTTAGAACCAGCGGAATGGTAAACGAGAGGTCCTTAAATTGAGTGGATATTGTAATGCATGCAACATCCCTCATGTGTCCGGGATTTTTACTCCCATGAATAAGCAAAGTACAGTATAAGCAATAAGTTTGATAAGCAAAGTATTTAGGACAAAATTGACTAAATGAGTTTATCTTGTTAATTTTGAAAATTATTCAAATATTGTACAGTACAAATTAGTTTTGATTAACCCTTGTATGGCGCCTGGCTATTTAGCATGCCACTCACAGGCGCATACCAAAAAAAAAAAAAAAAAAAATTTTTTTCTTCTAAACCTGTTAATTTGTGTTCATTGATCATGGGAAAAATAATAAAAAAAAACGTAAGTGGCATATACTGTATTGCCCACTATAGGGCGGGGAAGTCTGGCAAAAAACAGGCGCTGACTCAGCGTGCGCCCCAGACGGTCAGTTGCTCACCAGCTGTCAGGCCGGAGTTGTCACAAAGAGATAATTACCTAATTATTTCAATGTCTCTGATTGATTTTTCGTAGTTTTTTTGCTGTAATATTATTCAATAGTGTGTAGTGTGATATATTTATATAATAAAATGAGTGAATCATTGCTGTACTCAAAAATATGGTGTACATATTGTTGATTCAATTATGTTCATCAAACAGTGAACAAATACTTTGTCGGTTATTACACTATATACACAGATTATATATAAGTATCTGCATGTTTTGTTCACCATAACGAACCACTAAGTTGCTATTATGAGTAAAAAAGTAACGAGGAGTGACTGCCACACACCAGCCAGCCACTCACTCCCTCAACACCTCACTCGCCCACATTCTCCTTCCACCATACTGTTTTTGTTTTTATTCACTATGTACAGATGTTATATATAAGTATCTACATTCGTGTTCACCATAACGAACCACTAAGTTGGCATGCTGAGTGGCAGTGCCAGTGGCAGCCCGCACTGGCTGCTAATTCCTCCCTCCCTCAAGTCACCTGACTCGCCCACATTCTTCTCCCACAATACTGTTTTTGATTTTATTCACAATACACAGACGCTATATATAAGTATCTACATTCGTGTTCACCATAACGAACCACTAAGTTGGTATGCTGAGTGGCAGTGGCAATGGCAGCCAGTGGCAGCCCACCACTGGCTGCCACTCCCTCGCTCCCTCACCTCACCTGACTTGCCACCATTCTCCTCCCACCATACTGTTTTTGCTTTTATATACAGATGTTATATATAAGTATTTACATGTTTTGTTCACCATAACTGTACATCTAAGCTTGTATGGTGAGTAAAGGCACAAAGACGTAGCTACTCACACAGTCAGCTGGTGGCGGCCGCCCTCAAGGCCAGACACACTAATATTTCTCCTCCAACAATACTGTTTGTGGTGTTATTACGCTATATACACACATTATATATAAGTATCTACCTGTTTTATTCACTATACTTGCACAAGTAAACTGGTATGGTGCCCAAAGACCATAGTGGCCACCAGCAAACAACATGATAAATTGTGCAGACGACACACCTCCCTCACCAAAATGGAGGCTCCCAACCTACTCCTCTTGCTGTTTATACCCTCTATACACACGTTATATATAAGTATCTAGATTTGTGTTCACCATAGCGAACCACTAAGCTGGTATGGTGAGTGCAGTCAATAGAAGGTGGCCACACAGTCAGAAGACAACGCCACCACCTTCCCTCCCACAGCATTACTCCTCTCTCCATGGAGCACAGCGCTAAATATCACCACAATCTTGCTATTATCAGAACCCTGGTCAGTTTTATCACCATCAGGGGTCTTCTGTAATAATATCATCGCTACATAATAGCATGAACAAGTATATTATGCCATTTTTAGGCGATGCTGTGGTCACAAGCTGAACAGCAGTGCTGTGAGCTCAAGCTGCGTACGTCAGGCTTGGTAACTCACTCAATACTAAGGCCCCTAACATCCGGGAATTTGGCCCATGATTTTTTTAAAAAATGGCGTCTGTTTACAAGAGCCCTGATGAAGGTGTGGTGAACCCCGTGTATCCGCGGGCCGTTTAAATCTTGCGTGGTACTCCAAAAGCATCATATGATGCGATGCGCAGTTTACTGCAAGTCGATCAAAGCATCATATGATGCGATGCGCAATTTAAGGGTTAAAGTGCTTCATTTCATTTTACGTGTGTGATTTTATAAACATGATGGACCTAACTGAAAGTATAGCTGAAGCTGCTCGGTCTAATGTGTATTCATCAACTACTCATGAACCAGAAAGGCTCAGATGTTGTGTCCTACAGTAGTAAAGAAATTAACAACACTTGAGAATATAACCAACAAAGTTCCAAGGCAATTTCAATACTGTATATGAAACCATTCTCTTGGATATTAAGTTGGGGAATCATATTTCATCTAATTTAATCCCACCTTCCCTAACTACCTCATGGTTTAGACACTTGGAAAATTTGGGGGTACATAGTATAGCATACATGTTAAGAGTATATTTGTAGTGAACGACAGATGAGGTTTGCAGTTGAATTATGCTGTACTGTATTCTAAAATCCACCTTTGATATGAATCTTTAAATTTGATTCCTCCATACGTGTCCCCGAAACACATTAATTAGGTACTTTCATAAGAGTTCAGATAATTATAATAAAACAGAAGGTAATCTGACCATTAAGTTCATGCATGAGGGTCTTAGCATTGTGTGTTATACTTGTGCAAGAATTTATATTCCTCATGAATGTGTCAGAGTACATTTTACTTAGTCAGTTTAATGAGCTGCTAAGAGTTGTAGCTGCTGATGCTCATGTCTTTCTCAATGAAATAATCAATATCACTGCAACAGTTTTATTATTTTTTCAAGTATGGTATATCTGGGTGCAGCTATCTAACTGGTGGGAGTGCTTGAATAAGTTGTATGAGTTTGTGGTTTGCAACTTGAGTGCAGGAAGCTTAGTTGTCCCAGGATTAATGACATGATTCCATGTTACTCTTTGATTACTTTAGAAGAATATAAAACATCTCTTGAATGTGTTGGTTACAATTGTGTTGTTACAATGCTGTATTGCTAAAAGCAGTAAGAGGAGACCAAAATAAGAGGAAACTTGTGTTAACAAGTGAGGTAACAATGAAATGCCTCCAAAAATGGACTACACTAATTTCAAGCACTGCTAAAGTCTCTGAGAGAGTGACTAGGAGTCAATGTCCAGTTTTACTTGGAAAAATTAACTACACATATCAGATGAATGTTGATTTGCAGCGGGAAGATCCTACTTTCACAATTATTTAACCACTATGATAAAATCACAGAAACTTTAGAAGGAACCCAAAATAAAGATGATGTATGCCCAGATCTTGCAAAGGCATTTAATAAATGTGACCATAGAGTGATAGTTCATACAGGGCAATCCAAAGAAATACTATGAAGAAGGTGGGCATTGAACTCCAGTATCCTTACAAATGGGTCACAATGAGTACTGTAATAGTGAACCAAAATTCAGTCCAAGTAAAGTTTGAAGCTCTGTACCCCCAAGGCACTGTCTCATCTTCATACTAGACGTAAAAGAATGTACTGGCCACAGCTTCATGTCATCTTTTGCTAACAATGTGAAAATAATCATGAAAATTGCTCTGCTGCAAGGTACTGGAAAACTTCAAATAAATGCAAGTAGTCTTTTTCCCTAGGCAATTTACAATTGAATTTTCTCCAGTGATAAATTCCAATTTCTCAGATATGGAAAATATTAAGAACTTTGTGAATGTTGAATACAAGATGCAGTCAGGTGTCCTAGAATGGAAACAACACGTAAAGAATCTGTATAATGATATCAGATGACCTAATCTTTAATGAATGTGTCAAAGCAAGCTTAGCAACAAACAGAAAAATGATAGGGTTGAAAGGACACCACCATAGTGCTCCTACTTTTCAAATCACTGATGCTCACCTGCCTTTAGTACTGCTCGGTACTCCCTTCCTTTTTCAAAGTGGGAGAGATAGCTGAAGTAAAAATAATACAGTAAACATATACAGTATGGCATACATAGACACGGCAAAACACCCAAATTAATGGGGCTATCTTAAAACACTATCCTGGATTTTCCACTTGGAATTACGGGCGTTTTGCTTAACCGCTTGTCGGATCACGACGTAAATTTACGGACCGTGTTATATTGGGTATTTACTACTCGATCGACTTGGGGTTTGTATGAATATGTTTGCCATTAAATTTTTGTTTTCTCTAATAGGCACTGTGCCTATTTGAGAAAACGGCAATGTATTGTAACTTAGAGGAGAGACTATTGAGTTGGTGACACAACGAGGGTAATCGCCCACTCCACACACTCTTGTGTTGGCCGCAATCAGGATTCTACATTTATATGCATATGTCTGTGTAGAGAATTTTATTCCGAACACTATACAAACAAAAAAAAACGGAGTGAATCAAGTATAAACTTGAAAAAACATGAGCAAAGTAAAAACTTTTTACGCTCACGGGTACAAACACGCGTAAGATTCGCGTAAGATTTTATTCGCCGCAAATTTATTTGACGCTCTGTTGGCCAATTCTACCCATGTTCTTATAGAACTTTCTATTGCGAACACATTGCTATAAAAATGAAATACGTAGCTCGAGAAATAATGTCAGGACAGTGAAATAAGTATAAACTTTCAAAGCTCTGCATCACAACAGTGTCGTCGCTGCTGAAATCACGGCTAACGCTTCGTCCAGTTCCCACACTCGTGCAGAACATAATTAGACATTGATAGGCATATGTCTGGGTGGGGAATTTTATTGCGAGTTCAGTGATATCAAAATAAGCACTGTAGGATGACTGTGAGGCTGGCAACAAACGAAAGAGTATGAACATTTACTTCCTGTTTGGGTGTCACGGCGAGTCATCTTCGTGTTTATTTACTTCGTGGTGGGATAGCAAATGCTTTGGTGACATTTTATGCATATGATCTTGTAGGGAATTTTATTGCCAACGCATTGATACCAAAATGAAAAACGTAGCTCGAGAATTGATGTTAGGAGCGTGAAAAGATTATACACTTTTTTGTGTTTACGCTTGAGCGCGCAGAAGCGTAGACACAAAAAAGTGTTTACGCTTGCGTGCGCACAAGGCGCTTTTTTTTTCACGAGTGCCGCGCGCACTAAAGTGTTAAGGGGAAGGAGACGAGACACATCACAATATATATACTGTACTGTCATACTTATATTTAAAGGGGAAGGAGACGAGACACATCACAATATATATACTGTACTGTCATACTTATATTTATTGACAATAAGTGGAACAGTGCAGTTCTAACTGTAAGGTGCAAGTCTGTGTTTCATTAAGTGCACGAGTGGCCAATCTGTCCACTAGCGAGAGACATTTTCTTGCTTCCTATTCTGATAGGAGGAACGCCAAGGGAATAGGTCACCTTCGATGGCAAGTAATGTCACTTACCTTAGCTAACTATCTGTGGTGTGTTTTATTCCACCCAAAGCTGTCATTGCTTGGGGATGACTTTTTCACTTTCAGAATTTTTTAAACTTCAAAGGGATCTGCTTTGTTAGTCCATCTAAGGAAGAAAATCTCTTGGTCCCTCATTGATATAAAAAGACTATTTCTTACTAGGTAGTTATCTTGAGATGATTTCGGGGCTTTTAGTGTCCCCGCGGCCCGGTCTTCGACAAGGCAAGAAGCAGCCCGTGACAGCTGACTAACACCCAGGTACCTATTTTACTGCTAGTTAACAGGGGCATAGGGTGAAAGAAACTCTGCCCATTGTTTCTCGCCGGCGCCTGGGATCGAACCCAGGACCACAGGATCACAAGTCCAGCGTGCTGTCCGCTCGGCTGACCGACTCCCTGGTAGAGTGCATATACCTGAAATCATGGAATATGAGTATGTGAGTCTTGGACTGTTAAGATTTTAAATATTATAAACCATTACTAGGGGGTTTTAGTGCATTCGATTGATGAAGATTAAGCCAGCAAAGCGGTGGCACGGGCATGAATAGTCCATAACTAATACTGTAACTAGTGCAATCTTAGCGTAACTGTTTTATACTTTAGAAAATGCTCGGGAAGAATAAATGCTATTTTGATTTTTTTTTTTTTCAGGAAGATGAATTTAAGGATATGCTGAAGGCAGCTGCAAGAATTGAATTTCACTATTCACACTGGTTTGATGAAGTTATTGTTAATGATGAGCTGTCCTCCGCCTTTGAACGTTTAGTTGCTGCTGTAAATAAAGTGGAATCGGAACCTCTCTGGGTGCCTGCATCATGGGTGCAATAATTGTGGTCAGATTACATGGGTAGTGCAGCAATAAGATTTGTTCTTCATGCATTACCTATATATTTAAGTAGGTCAGTGACAAACAACCGCTTTGTGACTTATCACATCAAGATGCAATCTTGCCAACACACCTGTCTTTAATTTTGGTTGGTGCCTTTCTTTTTCTGAAGGAGTTAAGAGAGAATTGAGAATGCCTATATTCATTGTTGCTCTTCAATAGCTAGATCATGTTAAAGACAAAGTGTTGGTATTTCTATGGGTAGTTTCCCAGTCCAGTTTTCCTGTAAGATCAAAATCCATTATCAAGAAATGCTGTTTCTTGTAACCATTGTCATATTTATATGCTAATGTTTATACCTAAATGGTCCACTTCAATATTAACAGGTACAGCTGAGCATGGAGAAAGTGTTCAATGTGCAGCAATATGTGAACTGCACTATTTAATCTTTTAATATACAACTGCAAAGCTTAGTTAATAAAAGATCATTAACATGAGATGGACCATATGATAGAAAATTTGGCATTATAGCTATAATGGGTGTCAGGAGTAAATGACACCCTCTGGGTCCCACTTCTGTTGTTTCATAAGTCTTGCCATGATGTGGAAGTTAGTGTAAGTACAGTATACCAAATACTTGCTACCAAGCTATCAACATCTCTACAACAGCAGAAAGAGAAGTAATCAAGGCCATTTTTTCTAACTTTACTCTATGCCTCTCTCCCAGTATATCAGTTCCCAGGATCTGTTTCAGTGGACTCCACTCCCCCATCTCCAATATCTCTTGTGCCTCGTACCTACTTAATATTACTGACTTGTAGAGGTGTGCATGTAATCCTGTAAGTGATGAGTTGTTTCAGTTCAAAGCATGTTGAACTTAATCTTCTGCTGCCATTATTATTTATTATAATTATTAATGTCATCATCAACATATTGTACTAATAGATATTTATTAACATTATCACTAGATACCTCATCCCATTAAAACATTTTTCATCCCTGCCATGCTGATAACTTGTTAACGAATCTCATGTACAAGTGAGAAGATGTTTGTATCGTGTGCGTGATGGTGTAGCGAGAGGGATGTCGTCATTCATTTTGAAGTGTACAAAAGCTCATGTTGTACATTGTTATTTTATGGTGTGAAAGTTGTATGATCTGGCCTTAGGTAAGACTATAACAAACTACTTGTGGAGTATTTGAGATTAGTCACTGGCAGTTCTTAATCCCATTAACTTTTATATTGATCCTAAACCAGATTAGAGTGTGATAGTCGTTTTCAGGAATCGAGACAGTTGTAGAGACTGGTTTCAAAATATTACAAACAAGCTGGCAATACTTGTTAAATGCATCCATCTAGTCTTGTGTGGAGGGTGCTCCAGCCTTGGTGCAGGAATGTTGAGTGTCCTCCAGACTATTCAGTGGCAATATTTGTGTTGTGTTTGCTGATCAACATTACCAGATGTTTGGATCAATATTAGGTAGTTACTTATGTGCTTTTCCATTGGTTGAAAGGAAATGTAGCAAGTAACTGATTGATTTTGCGTACATTCCTTAATGATAAGTATTGTATATGTAGACCTATATTTTTAGTACCTCTTTTTAAGATAAACATGAATTCTTATTTATAATGTTATCAAAACCTAATTGTTGTACAGCTGTTTACACACAGTAGCAGCTTGGAGGAAACTGACAATTTATTTATGTGAATGTTTCCTATAAAGCTACCAGTTTAGTATAATAAGTTTTAAAAAGTGAGATATGTTTTTGTTTTTTGTAAAAGCTGGCCACATGAGGGTCACACAAATCATATAGTATAAAAACCTTGCAAGTTACTAACAAAACTCTAAAAATGTTGCTAATATTGTTAGGTGACTGCTTGTTTAATAGCACAAAGTGTGGAAACAAGGTGACTTCTTTCTGAATGGATTGGCATGCTGAACAGATTTATAATCAACAGTTTCTTTGTAAATGTTTCAGTGTGCGTTGTGTGGTGACCTCAAAAACTGTATATATATATTCCAGAAACAGGAAACACACAAGTCTTGACGGCTGAGTAAATAATGTGATGCTGGGAAATTTTAAGTGGATGTGTACGATTAGATTAACAACCAGTGGAGGTATGTACGATTATCATTGGCTTATATCTATAGCCAATAAACACGGAATGTGGTTAATGCGGAAACCAGGAAATCATGTGTAGTTTGTCTTGTTCGTAATAGGATATAGATGTGTAAACAGGGTAATCACAGTGACTGTTTTATTTCTGGGTTGGGGCTTAGGAATTTTGCCAAAACTTTTGACTTGACCAGTTCTTCCACCTTCAATGTAGATGTTTTTTCAATTTTTTTTATCGTTTTAACCTGTATTTATAATCACATGTAGATTTTTCATGCAGTTGATAAACATTCTGAATTAATTTGTTCTAAGTTAATAGGCTGCCTGATATAATTTATCCCCAATTAATGGGTTTTACAATATAGTTTTTCTCCCAATCGATGGAATGACTGACCTAATTTGTCCCTTACTGATAGGCTGTTTGATATAAGTTCTCCCAAGTTAATAGGCTGTCTTGATAAAATTTATGCCTAAACATCTGTTGAAAGGCTGTCTGGTATTACTTGTTCCCTGAAATATTTTACATATTTTTAAGTTTAGAATTAATGCAGTTTAAAGTACCTAAATGTTTCATAATCATTCCAAAATAATTGTATTTTGTTTTACAATTTGTATAATCAAGTTGCGCTGACCCACAGGTTATTAAACGTTCTCATGCTATTAAACGATTAACCTCTTTGTTATAAGCAGGTAGAGTGCCATTGGTGAATGGTATGACATGTGTGAGCGGCAGGTGTTTGATGAGCACAGTGCTAGGGCAAATTCAATGTTATTAATATTATAGCAAGAAACAGGGAATGTATATGGATATCCGTATATCTTCTCAAGGGCAAATTATTACTTTCTTTATATTTATTATGACATGGATATTTGCCGCAGATTTTGTAACTGTTTTTGTCTAAATTGTATGCCTGTAGTTTACGGATAAATTTGACGAAATTAAACTAAATTTTAATGGGCACCTGCACTGAATTTGTTATATACAGTATATAAACAATACAGTATTATCTTATTACATAACAGTTCAAATCTTCAGGTTTTTGCACAAGTTGCCCACTCATTGTTGAGATATGGCTTTCTGAACTTTGCATTTTATACCCGTCTTAAAAACTATAGCTCTGGCTGATCACTGACACGTTCTTCAATGTTAATTTTGTGAATTTAGTAATATATTAATTCAAGCCAAAATGATAGTGGCAAAGTTGTATTCCCAACATAGTGCCTATATTGAAGAAATGTATTTATATCTTTGATGGAACAATTAAGGGTAATGATGATTGTGTTTCTGGAATGTAGCTTCATCAGTTTGAGCCAGAAGGTGAAAAGGCCTGATGAGCCACATCGAAGCCTGATTGCTAACTTAACAGTGACTAGTACACATTCACACGGGATCCTTCTATATCTCTATGGCTTTCTTTCCCTCATCAACTTCCCTATTAAGACAGTGACACTAGTATAGCCTGCAGGCAGGCAGCCCCTTTTCAACATGTTCCTCTAGCCCGATTAATTTAATTTATACCCACATGGGGCTTTTCCTATATTTCCTCAATGTCCCTTTCTTTGAAACAATTTACCTATCAGCCACTCTTGACAAATTTTGCTCTTGCTATTCCTTACTTCATCATCCTTTTCATATGTTCAAACTATCATATTTGTCATCTCCCACTCATTTACCCTCTTACTCATGTCTCTGCCGTCTGCATCTTCATTCCACATGAACAAAGTGACCTTGCTGGAAACCAAGTACCCAAATGAGCCAAAGGAATTGTAGAAAGAACTTTTTAGCATTAGAGTAGTAAATTAAATAAAGTGGAGGAGACTGACTTGATAATGTTTATTCAAAAGAATGTGTGTACAAAGAATATAAGAATAATGTACAATTGTAGAAACAGGAGTTACACATACTAATGAATCCATTATTATGCAAAGTGTTTTGGACAAAACATAAAATAAATAGACAAAGCCAATTTAACTCGAGATGTAAGGGGTTAAAATGCCTAATACTAAATGAGAAGTAAGTTAGCAAAATGAGAACATTCATGGAAAATAACAAATGAATGCAAAAAATGTGATTCTTGAGGATGACAGGCATAGACTTTTATAATATGGAGTCAGTATACTGATGTAGCAAAAGTATAATAGTTTATTTACATTAATAACAAAATTGAAATAAAAGGTGTAGTTTAGAACCTCATAAATGGATTATCCTGAATTATGAACAAATCCACAAGGGCCGTGATGAGGGTTTGAACTTACGACCGGGATGATCCCAGACGCTGCCTTAGTCGACCAGGCCACGACATGGTAAAAGAATTGTAACCGGGAGTTCCACTGACTCTCACAGATCCTGCAGCCACTCCGAGACACAAATGAATGTGAGGTCAGTGGAACTCCCGGTTGCAATTCTTTTACCATGTCGTGGCCTAGTCGACTAAGGCAGCGTTTGGAATCATCCCGGGCGTAAGTTTGAACCCTCATCACGGCCCTTGTGGATTTGTTCATTTGATGCGTCACGCTATTGTGATTTCTGTGTGTTTTCTGAATTATATTTAGGAACTTGTGAGTATTCTGTAATACAGACAGTGCTACACTGTATACCTTAGCAATTACTGTTGATGCTGCTCTTGCCTGGCCTAGCCTTTACTTCTGATGCTCTCAGCATTCCTTTAAAGTGAGATAGGATACCACTTTCTCTGATTCTTTTCAACAATATGAAGGTATTCCCAAGGAAGTGTTCTGATCATTATTTGCTTATCCTAGTTGCCCTTAATGGTCTTCTTCCTTTCCCTCTGGCATTTTCTCAGCCCTTTATGTTGGTGATCTCAGTCTGTTGTCGTGGGGATGACTGCTTTTTCCAATGCCAGGTCCAACTTGCGATTGGTGCTGTCATCCGGGGCTAATACTCACAGCTTCAAGTTCTTCACATCTAAGACTTGTGCTCTGACCTTTACTCAGAAGCAGGTTATTCTCTGTCCTCCATTGTCAACCTATGGTAATCCCCTTCTGTATAAAGATTCTACTAAACTTCTGGGTTTGATCTTTGACACTCGTTTGTCTTGGTCACCTATATGTCTCACCTCATAGTTGAACACTCTAAGACCCGTATCATACTTAGTCTTGTCCCGTACTTCCTTGGGAGCCAATACTCTCTCACTCCTCTATTTGCCCTCCTCTGTTGTGCTGTTTAAACTTGATTATGACTACCCTGCTTACTCCTCTGCCTCTCCTTTGATCTTCCATCATCTTGATGCTTGAACCATACTGTACTTGGTTGTGTCTTAGCTCTGGTACCTTTTGTTTGTTCCTACCCAGAGCTTGTATGTTGAAACTGGTGGGGTCCCTTGAGTGTTTCAAATGTGAGTTGGACATGTATTTGAGTGGGATTGGGTGGTTGTAAATAGGACCTGCCTCGTATTAGCCAATAGGCACACTGCAGTTACCTTTATTCTTATGTTCTTATGTTACTGCCTTTGCTACCTCACACGGTTCCTGCAACATCCACATTCTCGCTTATGTCGAGTTTTAGCTGTTAATACTCAAGTGGGCCCTGTTCCCTTTCATCACCATCTTTTTTCCGTAAGGCTGTCTCACTTGTAAGATTCCCTCTTGGTTCATGTTTGCAATCTCTCTCTCCATATTATTCCATCCTTGCCCCCATGGAGGATTCCACTTGCAAAGTTTTGTAAGACCCTGACCCCACATGGTAAAGGCTTGTACCCCTCATATGGTTATAAAAAGCCTGTTCCTTAAGCACTTTTCTTTGCATTCACACTCCATTGCTCTATTCACAGATGGATCTAAGTTGGCCAATGGTGTTGACTACTGTACTTCGTTGTCTTTCCTTACATACATACACAAACTTGTATGTGCCACCTTTTCCCCAGAGACTAGCATCTTCATGGCTGAACTGTGCATTTTTGTGTGACTTGCAGTGCTCTCATGGCTCTGGAGTCATTTAATCATATGCATCCTGTGGTGGTCAAAATCGAATATTAACTGTTTCTCATCTCCAGCAAATTTAAGACAGTCAAGTTCTGCTGGGTTCCCAGCTATATTGGTATTACCGTACCTTGAAGAAACATGCAGACACTACCACTAAGGAGGCTATCTGCACTTTTCCTTTTACCCAAAAAAGGTATTCCTTATTGAGATTTATACACTCAGTCATTCCTCAATCTGAGACCATTGGCAGGGTCATTGGTCAAGTGTTACAGGTACCAACTGTGCACTCTTAAAGGAAACCTATCCCTCTCTGCCCTTCCTCCTACAATAGTAATAGGCATTGGGAGATGGCCCTGGCTAGGTTATGTATTGGCCGTGTGCACTTAACTCTCAGCAACTTAATGGAACACTGCCTTGTTTCTTATTGTCCAAACTGCTTGCCTTCTTACAGTCGTGCACCTCCATGCAGAATGTCCTGATTTTTAGGACATTCATATATCTTGCTGTCTCTCGGTCATTTCTCTCTCAATAGAATCCTTAATGAATTTGACACCTTCAATATCGTTCACCTTATGTGCTTTTCTCATAATGGCATCTTCAGTGATATTTAATACCTTTTGAATATTCTGTGACACTGATGGTGCTACATAGTCTTTCCTGCTTGGTGCTTTCTTTTTTATAATTTCTTTCTATGCTTTTTTTTCATACCTGAATCTAAATGTAAATATTACAGAAAATGATGGTTTCAAGACTGTACACAAGTTGATTGAAGGTTGAGAAATGGGGGGGCTAGAACACACCAGAAGTTGGAGACGATAACGTTTCGGTTCGTCCTGGATCATTATCAAGTCGATTATCAAGTTGAGAATCGACTTGATAATGGTCCAGGATGGACCAAAACGTTGTTGTCTTCCCCATCTACTGGTATGTAGTTTGGTCATCATACCTTCAACTGTTATTGTGACTTAATTTCTGCCGGAGGACTCGAAGTTATAGCTTCAAATGAAAAAAGGTGAAGATACTGAAAAAATACTGTATTTTTTTTTTTGGGGGGGGGGAGATGGGAGGAGCAACTAAATAGTGGATGAAATAAAATGATTTAAAGTGAATTAAGAAACAAAATAGACATAATTACAGTAACATATATATAAATAAATTTCTATCGAGTGAAGAAAGTAGCAAAGTATGAAGACAAAGTAGGAAACAGAAGAATACAGACAGCCCAGCTGTCACATAAGCAGCAAAACCTCGAGCATAGAGCATAGACAGGTATTGTGTGATCTGACTTGGCTGAGACAGTGTGGAGTCTAATGCTGCAGCAGTGGAGACCTCCATATCAGGGTTTGCTTGCTAGTAGGGAAGCAACGAGAAGGGTTGATATAAATGGAGTGTTTCTTCGTTTGTTCAAACTTCCAAGCAGCTGGAATAAGTGATAAATCAAGTGAAATTTTGGCCAGGAAGAGAGTGGGGAGGGTACAGGAAAAAATTACCAGGGAGTTAAAAAATGTTAGGTGTGAATAGGACGAACTATCTAGGGAAGGGAAGGGAACTATCAGGAGAAATTGCCAAGCCATTATGACTACTGTACATAGCACAGGGAAGGGGTCGGGATAAGGATTTGGGATGGGACAGGAGAAAAGAATGGTGCCCAATCACTTGGACGGTTGGGGATTGAATGCCGAACTGCATGAAGCGAGACCGTCGCTCTACCGTCCAGCTCAACATAAAGATAAAATTGTACAAGGATATTTCTAATAATTCCAAAATGATCAAAACCATATCCAGTGATTGGGATCACAGGACTTGAATGTTAACCAGAGATATTAATCCTAAAACATGGCATCCAAGAAGAATTTATCAAAGGGAAAGGGGCAAGTGAATAATACAGTACGCATAAGACAGCAGATAGTAAGAGAGAAATGTGAAAATTAGACAAACTTTCAGGCAAGCTGGAATAGGAGAGGTAGAATGGCAAAGCCTCAATGGGCACTGAAGCTGACAAAAATTTACTTAAAGAATCAAACTCATATTTTCATAATTCATCCTGCAGATGGGTAACAAACATTTCCTGGGTATAAAAGAAGCATAATACATCTGCCAATCACACAAAGGCTTTGTGGTCAGCCAAGACCAATCACCAGAGGCAAACAGGAATACTGGACATGGTGCTGCCAAGAACCCACATCAAAACATGGCATTGACGAACACACAGATTGAGGAGATGACCTTGCTCTAATGTCTGCAGCCAACAAAAGAAGTGACTTTCTCAGAGAGAACAAGCCCTCTTTCCCAGAGAGAACAAAGAGTTGTCTTGTGTGCCAGGAAGATGTATGGATTTAATACCGCAACTAGGAAGTGGCAGCTGACCAAAATTCATAAGAAATAAAATTCAAAGGTGTGTTTCTTGCCTGTACTCAGCAATAATACCAAATCTTGCTTAGTTTGTGAGGAATCTAAACAGCTGGGAAAACTGTGTTCCATCAAACTGAGTTCTAGTAACACATGTGGCAGAACTGAGTAACATTCAAAGAGGCGCCTCTATCCCCCAGAGTTTGGGCGAAAGGAACCAACAACACGGCAGGGAGCATAATTGGCACCTCCAGTTGAACCTTCTCTTGCTCTTTTAATCCAGCCTTTGCTGGCCTCTGAGGGCTGGAAGCCAGATAAGAAGTGGGCTTGTGACCACAAAAGTCTGCCAGCTGAATCAGGAGCTCTAGTAAGAGGTTGAAATTTGACATTCACAGAATGTCAAATTACAGAACCAGCCAGTCGCTGCAAAAGCTTGGTGTGTTGTGCAAGCCCATGATCGTACCACACCAGGTAAGCCACTGCCTAAGAAGGTGATTCCAAATACAGTAGTCCTTATAACTGCAAATATCACACACAAGGAGGGGGGGAAGGAAATATCACACACCAGAAGCACCACTCCTCACCCAGCAGGAGTGGTGCTGGAAGCAGCAGGACTGATCAATGTAATAAAACACTATTGTACATCCTGGAAAACAGCACACACCAGCATCAGGCTCTGAACTGGGCAGGTAATCCATCGTGATCCTGCCAGCAGAGAAAACAAGGTAACAAAGTAATTCATGATCAAGGATTAGTGAATCACTGCTATTCAATATTAGTAATTTCCTGCTAGTCAGTATTTCATTTAGGAAAACCCAGGTGCTAGAGTAGATGTATGTGCTGTACTAACGTAAATGAGAAAGGATGTATGATGCCAAGGACAGCTTAGAAAAGTTCATTCAACGTCTCAAATGCAACATCCTGCAAACGGTACTGAACTTCTCTCCCTCCCCAAGTTGGAGAAAGTGACACTCCCCCTCCAGAGCCTTGCTACAACACAGGTCCAACTCGTAAAGAGTCTTCCCAAAGGAGGAACTGAAAACCTCAAAACAGATAAATAATGAAAAAGTTATCATCTAGAGCACCAGAAATAATGGTTTTGGAACAAAGCTAAATTGAAATTAAGCATTGAAAGCATGGAACTCTTATGTAGGACACAAATGTCCAGAAATTGGCCAGTTAATTTAGCTTATAGAAGTGATGAGGCCAGCAGCTTCATGTGCAGTCATAAGTGTGCCAGGAGAAAAACATTGATTTCTTTCCCCTGACCCATAGGTAACCCTGTGCCAACCCTGTGGTTACTGTTAAGGTCAGATTAGTTTGAATTAAGTAGTTCAGAGAACTGTTTGCCAATTCTATGTTTCTAAATTTATTTAATATTTATATGAGTGTTGTGTGTTTTATTTCCTTTGGTTACAGAGGGTTCATTTTGTAGGTATGAATGCAGGTATATCTCTGATTACAAGCTATCTTGCCGAATGGTCGGGACATGATGGGCAAGAATGGCATCAGGAGCCTGATGTCGTGTGTGTGTGTTTTTTGACACAAGCTGAGGGTAGCTACTGTGGTGCAAACCCAGAAAAGTAATGAATAACCATTGTGTGTGTGTGGGGGGCTTTGCTTGGTTCATAAACAATTTTACATTTTGCACCTGTTTATAGTCATAAATACATTTTGTTTATAATGTGTGCAAATTATTAATCTGTATTGCTGTTGAAAGAAAACATGATTGATCTATATTGCTGTTGAAAGAAAACATTACTTGAAAAGGTTTGTTTAATAAATTTTAGTAAACCGTTGGCCTATGTGGTAGAGAAGTGTAGACCCCATAGGCTCCAATTACTTGTGAGGAGGTATGTATTTAAATCATTATCCATCAGTGATTTCTACATCAGTATGATGCAGAAATAATGGTTGATGAAAATATCTGAGAATGTTAGATCAGATGACAGGAGAGTGTGATTGAGTCGCTGCACTATGTCTGTATACTGGTTTGTGGGAAGTGTGAATACAGCAAGTACCAGTACTGCAATCTCAAACATGTCTTATTATTTCACTAGGAGTGGAGGTCTCGGGAACATAATCTTCTTATTCTTGTACTATATACCTGTACCTGTACTCTACTTAAACTTTAAGTTTGATTTGTGTAGGTTGGGTATTATACATGTACATAAATTAAGGGGTGCCTGTAAATAATAAAAATTTACGAAGAATGGGATGAAACGCGGTTCGTTTTACTACATAAGCTGACAGATAAATAAATTTACATTTTATTTAATTCTTCAAGGCATGCTGTCTCTTTGTGTATATCAAATTGAAATTAAGTTGATTGCAATTAAACAAGTAATATGGAGATTGGCAAGCAAGCCTATGATTAAAGAACAAGTGACTGGAAATCCTCAAAAATCGAGACATGAACTGATAGCGGGATGACCTATCATATCAGTATGGATGCTGTTACAGTTACAGTTCTGATTCTTTTAACCAGTTTGACCTTGTTATTGATATCAAGGATTGTGGGCCTCATGATCCTGGGTTAGAATACATGAAATATTCCTTGTGCTTTGACTTGTCGTCTCACACTGTTGTGAACAAATGTTTGATATATACTGTTGAGTATGTATGCATATTTCTTTGCAGGTGTTCTTTAGATAGTACTTAACTTAATCAGTAATGCTGTCAAATAAGGAAACTTAATTTTAAAACCATGATTGAATTTCATACTTAATTTTTTGTCATACGGTGCTAATCAGAGGGTGTGTTGAGTTGTTGAGAACAATTCTCTAAGAGAAGGCGTTCACTTCACTCGTGTCAAAAATCATGGTATCCGGATATTTTCTGTCTCACTTATGTCAATTTTTAATATCTTGATAACTGAATGTTCTAAAATATACTTTAAAATTAAATAATATAGATTAAAGGTCCCAAAAAGTTTGATATTAGATCTCTAGACAACATAAATATTACAGCATGAAATATCTAATAAAAATAATGGTCAATGATTTAATGACTAAAGTAAGAATAATACTTAAAAGTGTAACACAAGTTGGTGGGCTAAAGTTTTTTACTTTATTTTTATCAAGGTGTTAAGGCATTCATTTTAATAATTGACCAAAGTTATATTGACTCATGTAAACCATTATAACTTTGTAAATATTTTTCAATAAGTTGCTCTCCGATCACATCAGTTTAATATTTTTCACCCTAATTTTGTGACCATCTGATTTGTTATTAAGAATATCATGTGATTATTTAAAGTTATTTTTATCACATATTGACTACTGAGAACTCATGAGATTAAATTATTTGGTGTCTACTGAAATATTAAATGTTGTTTTGAAACTGAGATAGTGTACTGAAAGCTGCTGGAAGAGATGAGTGTGTACACTGCCATAACCATCCCTCAAGTCAAGTTGTCCCCCCAACAAGTTACAAAGAGTTGTGTTTGGAATATAACAGTGATATAAGGGACCCCCCCTTTATGCCTATACCCCTAGTTACTACAATACTATTGGGGAAAAACAGTAAGCAGCAATTTTGTGTTGTTGTTATTAGCAATGGCTGTACAATGTAATGTAATTAGTTTGGTGTTTTCTTTACAATTTTACATCATACAATCTCTGTACCTCTTGTCAAATGTTTGTTGTAACATGTTTCCTTTGAGGCTCCATGTTAATGTTTGGACATAATTGAACCAAAATCAAAGTTTATATGGGTGTGTCCAGTGTCTTGCCAGTGAGTGCATCCTTTCTACTATGTAGTTTTCCTTGTGTAGAAGTGTTTGTAATGTAAATATTTCTGATTCTGACATTATCCACTGAATCAGATCTGACAAAAAGGATATAAAGTGTGTGTAACAGCCAATTGCTTACATTATTAATATATTGTACCAAACAGTGGTGATAGTTAAGTAGTAATACAGTTTAATAACATAAGGAAATATAAAATGAGAGAGTTAGTTGCTAAATTTATCAAAAAGTTACAGCATAAATTTGTATCACATTAAAAAGTATGTGAGAAAACTGATTAGATTATATATACTGTATATAATTAGTCAAAGAGTTTGAAGTGTTTTGCCTGCTTTACTTTGGGCTCCAGAGTGCAAGATGAGGCCAGGTCGGACACTAGAAGCTGGTACATGTTACTCAACCATTATTTTGAATGTGCAGTACAACTAATTGACTGTACTCATACATTAAAATCAACCTTTTGAGCATTTTTGCAATTAGCTTTTGCTGATTGTTTAGATGGGAATTAGTGATGGATAAGACAAGTATTTCAATTAATATCACACTTAAAGCTTAAAATAATCTGACCTGGCCACGGACGTTCAGAATCGTGTTTTAGTTATGTTTGTTGGGTTTGTTGGAAACATTAATATGATCTCAACACATATCTAGTGAATTGTGTAGCTCCACAGTGAGCGAGTATTGTTAATAGTGTTAATGTGTAGTTTTACTAGTTTGATCTACAGTCTATTATTCCTCACTAGTTGTATGTGAGACAAGATGGAAATAAAAATGTTGTGAAACCTGACATGTAAGATAGTTAATATATTTCTATACTTAAATTATCAGTGGTGATCCAAAAAATGATTAATCTGGACATTATTTTGTAGTATCTGATTAGGCTCGAGCACTATTTTATAATATTAATGAGATCAAGTTGCTAACAAAACTGTATTAACTAATATTGAATCACCAGACTTGTGTCAGCCCATTGATAAATGTCAAATATGATGTGGGTCTGGCTAACCTGAAGCATATGAACCTAATCAACCCATTTAACCAATTGAGGCCAATACTCATTTGTCCAAGGTTGTCAATTTTAGGGTGCTTTCAATTTCACTCGAGCACCAGAATTTTGATGGTGTCATCAGTGTTAAAATTGTAGAGGAGTGAGAACAGGTTACCTGTGAGAGTACAGTAGTTAAATAAGAGCATAACATTAGGATATTCCTCTTATGTTTTCATGGTAATTTACTAAACTGATTCTATAATTTCAGCATACAGTACAGACAAAAAAAGTGTGATATATGTTTTGTCTTGCATACATAGGAGCTTTAAGTTGAATTAAAGACAAATATTACTGTGAAAAAAATTGCAGGAAAGCAAGTGCTTGTTTCAGTCAGTTAAACATTTATACTGCCACAATGAAAAGTCAGTATCAATTTCTTGATAACGTTGATAAAGTTCACCAATATTCTCTCTTGTCCTCAAATAGATTAATATTTAGTTTTTTCATATACAGTATCTGCATATTCCAACAAATATTCACACATAATCATTAACATCATTACAGTAATTAAGTATTATCAATACTGTAGTACAGTATTAATCTTAAACAACTTTTATTTGGATAATGACTACATATTAAGAAATATGAATTTAATGTAAAATTGTAATACTGTATAGATAAATTATATTTATTGCAAAACTGTTAAATTTTTTAAAATTTAAAAAAAATTATTTACTGTACAGTACTTAAAAATATTAGGGTATAAAATATCAGGGTACAGTATATGTGAATGCTCAAAGAGAATATGCCGTTGTAAAATTCTAGTTAAACACCGCAAGGTGAATCATACGTCAGGTTACGAGCAGCTGCGCCCAACAGCCTGGCTGATCGGCCCACCATCCAGGAGGCCTGGTCAGAGACCGGGGCCATGGGATGTTGATTCTCGGTATCACCACACGGTATGACAGTTGATCTCACTGACATTGACACAAGCTGAGAAAGTGGGCCTCAGCATACACACATTTACCAAACATGTTTTGATTTACCATTAATGAAAGTTAGTGTACCATAGTCAAATTTGAATTGAATGTCTTGTATACGGTCAATTTCAAGTTGATGGTTGAAATTTGTAAAGCTATGTCTGACAGTGGCTGTGTTCAACAGTGGTTGGTCGGTGTCAAACATTGATTGCATTATCTAACAGCGAGTTTATATAATTTTAATACATAGTGAAATTTCTGAACATAATTCCTGTGAAAACCTTTATAATTAAGAGTCCGGTAATTTTCGTTGCAAACCAGAACTGCTTTTGTGATGAAGATGCACAACACACTCAGATATTTAACTTAATTGCTTTTGTTCTATCATTAATTTAATTATAATACCTGTTGCAAACATACATATGTGAAACAATCAAAGTTGTATACAGTCAAAATTTATGTAAATAGTTAAGTCTCAATGGAAGTAAAATATGCAGGGTGTCCATAAATTATGTTACCCATTTTAGAAATTAACAAGTTTTCTAGAAAGTAGTGTCACAAATTGTATAGATATAACCTGGAGAATACCTGGAGTGGGTTCCGAGGGTTGTTCCACTCCCCAAATCTGGCCTGGTGCCAGGCTTGTCATGTGATAACTTGGTCCAAATGGCTGTTGCTTGAGGGTGGTCTGCAGGCCTACTTATATCACAACCCAGTTAATGTGAAGCTTCCTGCAGAAACGTGTTCAGTTGTCTCTTGAACACCTATAGTTGTATTCCAGCAATATTCGCTCAAAGAATATACAGGTATGGATTACCTTCTGTCTACCAAGGGTTGTTCAACAACGCAAAGCTCATTTTATATTGCATTGATTATATTTGGGAAAAGTTTCAAGGTATCATGCATAGGTGATATTGAATATATCTTATCTTTCACCAAACCCCCAGAATACAAGACACTCAATTGGGGTTATGCTAAGAGAATGTGGGGGGCCATTATGTTGGTTTATATTTACCAATTTCCTCTATCAAAACTTCAGTGTGGGGGAGTAATATCTTGTTGGAAATTAACATAAGGTAGAATTAACAGTTGTAGCCAACTAACAGTTGATTCATTGTCCCTGTTAGTTACTTTGTGATGGAAAAGGACCCAATAACTTCATGATGTAGGCCATGCATAATAACCTTTGAGCAATAAATAGTACAAATGTGGAATCTTGGAGACCAAAAAAAAAATTTAACACATTCGTCAAGTTAAAAGCGGAGTGTTTTTCTCAATAGAATTGATAAATTGATACTTTTTAAAATGGGTCAGATAAATTATTTACACCCTGTATACAATTTTGGGCCTTCCCATGCCTTCTTATAGATTTGAATGTTAGTGAATTGTTTTGTGCTAATAATGTTTGTACAAATGAAACAATATATTAGTTTTAACTTATTCAAGAATGAAAATTAAAATTACTTCATTAGCCCTTTAATTTGTGTAGGGTAAGAATAATAATACTCAGAGATTTAGTTACACATTACAGTACTGTATATTCATGGGTGAAAGTTGTCTCTTTGTAGATGGAATTCCATTAAAATAGCCTTTCCCAGATACATTCCTATGTGATAGGGAGCAAATTTTACTGTTAAAAGCTCCCCAAATCCTCAGCCACAAGATTGGTTTTAATCAACATGTTCATTGGATACTTTCACCCATGTATA